CAACATAAGTAACAGTTGGGCTGAGGACTTCGTAGGCTAACATAGAAAAAATACTTTTTTTGATGAAATTTGATTTTATCATTCAATATAGTTAGTTGCCTTTGAGAGCGACTATACCAGTTTTTATACAATTTTTCGATACCATTTTTATAGTAGTATTTGTCTTTAGCCTCAAAATATACATTATACATGATTGGTTCTTAACAAACAACTTGCACCTGAACATAAAGAAAAAATGTCACGTCATCACTTTTTCCAAATCAAAAAATATCCTATATTATGACTATAATATTGATGAAAAACTACTCTACAGAGTAAACGAAATAAGAAATCTTGGGATTACTTTAGGTCAACAACTGAACTTCAAAAGACACTCCAATAATGTTTCTGCAAAGGGAAGCAAAATGTTAGGATTTATAATGAGAAATTGTGTGAAGAGTTGTTATGAAATACCCTCAAAACTTTGTATTGTTCTTTAGTTAGGTCAGATGTGACATTGGAAAAATGTCCAAATTCTATTTCTAAAGTTTATATTCTTCAAAATGAAGACATATTCCAACTTTAATCGTCAAAATACCTACTTTAAATAATCTTAACTTAACTGAAACTACCACACAGCACTTCCATCATGATTATGACATTAATTTACAAACTATTCTCAGGTGAAGTCGACTGTCCTTATCTTTTAGAAGTTATTAACTTCAATGTAAAATCTAACGATACAAGAAATCTTCCACTTTTTTGCATGAAAAATCATAGCACTCACTAACTATGGTTACAACACACAGATGTCTAGATAATGTCGATCTCCTTGTAAACTCACTGAGTGAATTGAAAAAATCTCTTAGTGACATAAGATTAGACTAATAGTACTGTTGTCTGATAATATGTGTAATATGTAAATTTTCAGAATCGTAGTTCACTGTTAAAAATTTAATGTATATTGTTTCTGATGGTGAATCTGTGAATAAATAAATAAAATCAGTCACAGTATCGATTACCTACCTCTTTCTTTCCAGTCTCTTGAGGTCTGAGAACAGGAAAAAGTCGCTAGGGGTCAGATCTGGAGAATAAGGTGAATGCGGAAGCCCAATTCATGCCATTTTGCCATCGTTTTCATTGATTTGTGACACGGTGCATAGCCTTGATGGAGCCGTTTTTTCGCTATTTCGTCCTCCAAACATTTCAATTACGCTATGTAATAGTCGCTACTGATGGTATTTCCCTTTTTAATATACCTAGTCAATGAATTATTCCATGCGGATTCTACAATACAGTACATGTACCATAACCTTGCCAGCCGACTGCTGCGTCTATGCACGCTTTAAAGTCGTTTCACAAAGTGCAGTCTACTCAGATGACGATCGTCACATAAATTCGGATGTCCACTGCGTGTCGTCTTCAATGCTCATTTCAACTCCTTTAAACTTATTAAATGATATTACTGGAGTTTTTTCCCAACACCAAATCGTAATTTTTAACACCTCGACACGTATTTCGATCACCAACTGATCATCTTCAAAGAGGGAGATTAAAACAGTTTTAATCTTCCTCTTTGAAGATGATCACTTGGTGATCGAAACACGTGTTAATCTTCCTCTTTGAAATGAAGATGATCACTTGGTGATCGAAACACGTGTCGAGGTGTTAAAAATAACGATTTCAAAGATGAAGATGATCACTTGGTGATCGAAACACGTGTCGAGGTGTTAAAAATAACGATTTGTGATCATCTTCAAAGAGGGAGATTAAAACAGTTCTAATCTTCCTCTTTGAAGATGATCACTTGGCGATCGAAACACGTGTCAAGGTGTTAAAATAGCGATTTGGTATTGGGAAAAAACTCCAGTAATATTCATTACTACACCAAAGGTTCCAAACATAAGGTGCATCATAAGTCGTTTAAACTCAGCAAACCACTTCTCAATGGTTGATTTTCCTGGTATAAAGTTCGAATAATGTTTATCGAGCCAAGCTTTCGCTTCAACAGTTTTAAAGCAATGCTTTATTAGCACATGAAATTCCTTTTTTTAATCATTTTCTTCCAACTAACAAAAGTTACTTCACTGAAAATGTATTTAACAAACTAAGAGTCTTGACAGCTGTGAAATTTGTACACCTGTCTCTTAAATCATATGGATTTAATACTAGTAGTCATCTCTTTGTTAGCCTACGAACTTTTCGGTCCATCAGTACATCACTGAAAAAGTAAGTCTCTTGAGTTATTTCACGAGATGTTTTTATTCAAATCTCCAAACACAAAATAGTTCAGTTTTGTATTATCCAAATTTTGAAGATTCTCATCCAATCTCTAAAAAACTTTTTTACTTCAATATACAAATTTTCAGGATCTTTTTCATAATTTGGTAATCCACATTTTCTTCCAAACATATTCCTATGTCTCCCTCACGTTTCAGTTTTGATAATGCTAAGATCTTTTTTCGTTTTTGATAAATCTTGAGATAATGTTTGCATGATGATAATTAAATTAGAATAAATGTTGATTTTATTTACATCTTGTTGAGGCCCAAAAATATGATGGGAGCATTTTTGAGAACCTGTTTTCCTTCTATATTTTTTATTTTTTCAGTTATCGTCCCTGAACTTTCCATAGTTTTTGTTCTATTCAAGTAATACTTTCATGAGATAATATTAAAATCTTACAATAACGTGTTACTTGACTACATTATGGATTTTCATCAAGTATCGACCAATTCTATCACATTTTTGTTGAATTAGTAGTGATTGAAATTTTTGTATTTTTGTATAATCAAAAGTTCTTTCTCCCCGATAATCATAATTTCTCCTTTGAGGTACTTGATACAATCGTTTTTTTAACTGCAGCTTCATTCACCTGATAACTCATTTTTAGTATTTGCAACACAGATATTGTCTAAATCACTATTGTGCGCTGTCCTTTCACTAAAGTACAACTTTCACTGGACTATTGAAATGTTTCTAATGTTCTAAAATATCTCAAATTGTAAATACGTTCTTTCGTGGGTCTCTTCAATCATGGGAACAGGAAAAAGTCACAGGGTGTCAAAATCTGGTGAATACGGTAGCTAAGGCATGATTACAGTTTTGTTTTTGGCCAAAAAATTACGAACAAGCAATGACGAGTGAATAGGTACATTATCGTGATGCAAAAGCATTGACTTGTTTTTCCACAATACCGGACTTTTTCTTCATATTGCGTCTCGTCGCAATCGGCGCATAACTTAATGATAATACTTCTTATTGACCGTACGACCTTGCATGTGGAAAAAAATTCTGATGCATTACACCACGGTAATCGAAGAAAACGGTGAGCAAATCCTTGACATTTGGTCGAACATGGCGTGATTTTTTTTATGCTTGCTCTTCTGGGCTCTTCCACTGAGACGATTGGACTTTGGTTTTGATGTCATAACCGTATACCCATGATACGTCACCTGTTATGAACCTTTTAAGCAAACGGCCGTTTGCCGTTCAACAATTCCTGAGCGATAATAATAATTCTTTATTTCCAGTAGGACAATAAAATTGTGTAGGAAGTGTCAATACAATACAAATTAAAAAAGAAAAGAATAGAGGAAGACAGGCTCATGCTCTAAAACTAAAATGACTATGCATTATTCAAAGAATTCCTGCAAAGCATAAAAACATGTTTCTAATAAATATTTTTTTAATGATTTTTTGAACAGAGAAAAACTATTCCAGGCTTTCAAATAAGGTGATTCTATATCTTTGGACCTATGTATTCTGGTCCACATGATGTTACTTTGAATCTAGCTAATGCAAGTGAAAATGGTTCTTGGTTGTAGTATCATGTTGGTGAAGTTTTAGATTTGTTGTAAATCTTGATTTATTTTTGAACACATACGTACATAGTTAAAAAATATAAACTGATGTTAAAGTTAAAACGCCTTACTCATTAAAAAGTGCTTTGCATGATTCTCTATTAGAAAAATTTGCTATGCACCTAAGAATTCGCTTTTGTGCTATAAAAACATTTCCTGCTGTGCTGGAACCACCCCAGAAACAGATACCATACCTAAGTCTTTATTCTACTTGAGCATAATATATATTTAGCAGCTGACTCTGTTAAAGCTGTTTGTAAATTGATGAAGAGAAACTTCAATGAATTAAGTTTTGATATTAATTGTTGACAGTGGCCTTTCCAGTTGAGGAACTCATCTAAAATGATTCCCAAGAATCTAACATTGTGATCAGTATTTATTAGGGTCACATTGTTTACCATGAAATGTATGTTTTCCACTCTGTTTTGCCAGTTGTGAATACGAATAACATCTGTTTTGTCTGCATTGAAAAATTAATCGTTGTTATTGAAATAATTTGATATCCGCCTTACTATTCTGGCACAATTGATACTCATGCATTTGTTTGAAGGTGATTGACAATGTTTCGTGATGAGTTTCACTAGTTCGGACTTCCATTGTCTACTATATAAAATGATTTGAAATCCCTGAAATTAGTTCACGACGTTTCGATTGTTGGTATCTACAATCATTTTATATAGTATACAATGGAAGTCCGAACTAGTGAAACTGATACTCATGCAATTCGATACTCGTGCGATGGTTTTTTTGGTCAAAATACATATGCCGACATCCTCAGAAACTTCTCTAATAGTGATTCGACGATTCTCCATTACAATATTCTTTACTTCTCAACATTTTCATCAGTTGTTGATATGATGGAGCGTCCAGGGCGAGCGTCGTCATTCACATATTCTCGACTTTCTGTGGAAATCTTGTACCACTTGCAAACCTTTTTCTGACTCAAACTTTATGCCACTCATCACTCAGTGTGAACATTCACTTTATTTTTTGAACAGATCTCGTACACGAACTTCTTAACTGAACTTTTCCCATGTTTGTTGATATTCACAGTAATTCAACAATTTTGTTTCACTTCCAATAATGAATATTTATTTCAGAGTTCCTGACACTGATTATATCACTAGAAAAAATTCACCAGAATTGAAAGTCGACAAAAATGTTTTTGTTAATTTATTTTGATTTATAAAATATATACAATTTTGATTTTTGGTAACTACAAATATAAAATGACTAAACATTGAGACTTAACTGACTCTCATGAAACAAACTAATATCTCAATAATTTTCCCGCTATACCATTTGTATCAATTTTCCTGTTTTTCAAATTGAGTTTGATTTATATCAAAATCTACATCGGATTCCATTTCATTTTCTGATAATGATAGGGACCCTCCGGTTCTCCTTACCAAGATTTCCTTTTCATTCTGGAAAGAAAACTAAATCATGGAACTTATCTATAATAAACAGAGGAACAGTTTGAAAGCAATTGAATGAAACATTCGATTAAAACCTAATAAATGTAAGCTGCCACCACAATTATCATCAAATCACATAACTCCATGTCATATTTGGTATCACAAAAAATATGGTATCAAATATGTTTTATCTAGAATAGTAGATGAAATAAGAAAAAAAACTATTGAAATATGTTTTTCCGTTAACCAGCTGTTGTCCCGCTACGAACGACAGCTGTCATTTGCAAGCAACTTTTTTTTAGAATACCTCTAGATATGAACATTCTCGTGAAGGATTTATGTGATAAGTGTATTCAAAACATACATTTAAAAGAAAAAATTTACCAAAAAGTGTTAAGCGCAAAGGGTTATGGAGTCAGTAATGTCGAGTGACCATGCCAGCTTTGTTGTCTAAAATACTAATTGAAACAAAAGAAATTAAAAAAAAATTACACTTTCTGATGAATACATTAGAAGAAAAATGTTACTACCACCAGTTATATAAAATAAATAAAATATGAAATGTAAAATATAATATCAGCTAAATCTTATGTTATGAATTTTTTGACGGTTTAGTGAGAAAAAATTAAATGATTCAAAATGTTACCCACTTCCGACAGTCCAACGGTTGGTTCAGAGGCATATCCACCTCTGCCATCATCGTCTTCTTCATCTGAAGAACTAGAGATTGATTCATCTTCATAGGGCCTTCAAATGAAAAAACCCTCAAGATTTATGTACATTACTTAGAAAAAAAAACATACCTAGAGACTTTGCACACCATCTGTGCCAAGTCAGTAAAAGTGTAATTTCCCAAAGTATTAACATTTGAAGAACTTTTATGCAATTCTGAAGGAGTTTTGAAAACTGGCAGGTTACCAGCCTTCATCTGTCCCTCAAAATATGCTTTGCCATGCAAATAACCTACTTCTCTAATTTCATCAAAGCTTCCAAATTGAAGTGTTCTGTACTTGTCAATGGGTGGACGTATATATTCGCAGTAGTCACTGTTTTTGACTTCCTGAAACGATTAAAAAAAAACAGAATGAGTTTTGAGAATAAATAACTGGTTTTGTTTTATTAAAAAATGTTTATAAATAACTACAAAATTCAAAATAGTTTCAGTTTCTAACATGTAAATTTCATAAGTACATTCATGACCATATTTACAAAGTTGAAGGAACTTATACCAGTGAAGCCAACAAAAGGCCTGTGAAAATAAGTTTTTTTTTCAGCAGTTTAATGCTAAAACTTGTGAAATTGAAAAAGGATTATCACATTAAAAACAGAATTTATTTGAGTTGTGTAAACACTCACTCCAAAAACAAGCACTTTTCCCAATCACCAGAAATGCATTACTCTTCTCGATACGCCAACTTGGTTGGTGACTTGCGCGTCGAGAAGAGTATTACATTTCTGGTAATTGCGAAAAGTGCTTGTTTTTGGTTGTATTTTATGCTAGAGGTTCCAGTTTTACCTTTTATTAAACACTCTAGTGACTGAAAGTGTCTTAAGTATCAGAAAGTTGCTCGTTCAATAAAAATATGGGTAGTTTGGGATAAAGATGACACTGTGATGCCTGCTTGATTCTATTAGATTCAGTTTGAAAAATGGCGCGTATCAGAAGATTGAGATGTCTTTCACCTTTAAAAAGTAAAGTAATAATTCTTTTGGCAATTGCATTTTTTATAGAAATCAAGTAATCCAAAAAGGTTAATTTTATAGACATATAAGCCCAAGTCTCTGACAGCCCAGATGTCAAATTTATGAAGTTGAGTGTGTAAGGTTGGTTAAGGCAAGTTTTGAAAAGGTAGATGTCTATTTATACTTTATGCATATAAATACTTTCCAGAGGGTAGATGTTAGAAAAATGAATGACTTTATAAGATTATATAAACATTGTCAGTGTATTTCGGTGAATGAATCTAGTAAATAATGATTTAATTTAATTTCATCAACGGGTAACACCCAATTAGTTCAACAGATTTCACAATAAATCACATGAATACAGACATAACTACAACTAACTTACTTGCTAAAAGTAAAAGTAACTTATAGAAAAAAAAATAACAGTGAGAAAATAAATTTACTGATATGCAAGAGTTGAAATAAAAGATCAAATGAACGAGGAGGATCTGAAGATTCAAGAATTGAGGAAGTTGATGTATATTTTTATTTATAATCAATTTCTGAGAAAGGGTAATTCAAACTTAAATTTAGTTTTGTTAAGTGAAAAGAAGTCCATACCCATAGCAATTCTAGACAAGGGAGAGTGTTTGCCATATTGTTACAATGATGAAAATCTATAGCAAATGTTTCTGTATGCCTTGTACTTCTAAAAGGAACACATAATCCAATTTGTGCTGACAGTGCAGGGCAGTTGATAAGAGAATTCGATATTTGGAATAAGAATTTTAAGTTAGTTTCAACTCTACGACTACTTAGCTTCAGTATGTCTGTCGCCCTGGCCCCTGGATGGTCCTTAAAGGGAATTTTTAACTTGAACTCAACTCCAAAAGTTCCGAAGGAAGGAAGACAGCGATTAGATTCAAAATAAACTCTTTACATTTATAAAGATGTGTAGATCATACATAGAAGCTACTTTCAGATAAAAATTGAAAAAAGTCCTTTCGAAACAACTAATTTCACAACAATTACTTTCATAAGTTGTTTCGGGAAGGATTTTTCTTCCAGTTTGTATCCGAAAGTAACTTCTATGCATGATCTACACATCTTTTCAAAGAATTTATTTTGAACCTAATTACTTTCTTCCTTCATTGGAAATTTACCACATCTTTTTGTATTGAGATGGAGCAGTAGAAAACCAATAACTTTTTTCCCCTCAAAAACTAACCACTCCCAAAAATATACCACTTTCAATACAAAAACAAATTTGTACCAACCATAAGTTCATTTTGGAAGTATTACATAAAATCAAAGGTCGATAAATAATTTGATATTCTATTCATAATTTCATAGTTGTGATTGCAGATATTTCTGAGTATGAATACACATTTTATGTACATAGCGGGTATCTGGTATATTTTTTGGGCAGGTTAATGTAGCCGGAGGAAACTTTTGACAGGTAATATAATAGCAACCTTTTAAATGACCTTCAAGTTTTAGTAGTATTCTTCCATCAACAAACAAAAGCAAACAATTTCACATTCAAATTTGGTTGTGAGCTCGAGTTGACTTCAAAGAATATTCGAAGAACATTTGAAATGTGAGATCTGAGGAGAAACCTCTGTTGTGACTAAGATAATTACAATTCCCCCAATTTTCAGTAAAATATTTTGAAGAAAAAAAGTTACATATTTGTTATGTTGCAAATGAAAAAAGGTTTTAGTTGCCATACAATCTACTGAGAGTTCTATCATACCACTTTTTCAAATGATGAAAAAATTTCATTTCATTTATGACAAATATCTATAAAAGCACGTTTTACCTCAAGTTGTCTAACACAGCTAACATAGGCTAATCGTGACTGTATATCAGGAAGATTAGGAACTTTCACAGTTTCTGTAAATGGGTACCATCTTTTCCACAGCAACCACCAACCAGATAAATCATCTCCATAATTAGTCAGGTCTTGATCATCTACTGAGCCAACATCAATTGCCAATATATGATTAGCACCCAAACTTCGCATCACATCAGCTGAACATGAATAGAAAAAAAATTACTTTCAAAAATCTTACAATATTAGTAACAACACTATTCAACAAATAGACAATATCGAGAATTTATGAAACTATTTTGAAAGTCAACTCAGTTTTTTCATGCCAAAGTTGTTGACGGCTACGGTTTTCAACCAATAATTTCAATGCACTCATTAGTGAATAAAATCGTTTGTAACAAAATATTTCGATACTGTCTTTGAGAAATTTGTATGTAATAATAACCTCTATCATTCCAAATGTCTTTAGCAGTTTGTGTTCAAATATTTTTTGAATAAAAATTGACATTTTTCGAGTTTTTTTTTTCAAATACATGGCCAAAAATTAATTATTTCTTATGAAATGTGAATTTTATTGTAAGAAGCTGTATTTTTTATTCATATTTGTGATTTTACTTTGCCTAAAACTTGTATCATCAAAATAATCAATACCCTGGAAACATTTTTTTAAATCATCAGTAGCCTTATTTATCAAAACTTCTTTCAGATAATACACAGGATTAGACATTACCAAACAAAAAAAAATCTCAGTCATTTGCATTTCCTGACAAACTTTTCCATAGCAATGTTACTTTTCATTCACACCATTTGAAAGTAGATAGTTCAAAAAAGGCCACTGTTAATTTAAAAACAATTTTTTCAAAACATTGGCATTTTGGGCTAAAAATGAGGTATTTTATTGGGTTCAACATCACACAATGTTTGTCTGAACAACTTTTTTTACTGTGAAAATAGCTTTAATAACTGCAATCTTTACAAATATGCAAAATGTATTAACTTGTCAAAAAAATGTCAAAGTTCCTCTTTTTTGCCAAAAAGAAAAAATAATGGTAACAGCTTGATATACAAAGTAGGTAGTCCCTAAAAAATATATCACACTGAATTTTTTATTCCAATAAATTATCGCGTATATTCTGAAAACAAAAAAAAAGTTCTCATCACATTTCATGAAAAACAAATTTTTGTAGAAAAAAAATCAAAGACGAAAAAGCCCGCTCCATGTGGAAAATGGTTCTTTCTTTATATTTTCTATAACTTTCGTATCTAGCTTTTTTTTTCAATAGGACCAGTTTCTTTGGCAATAATGAAAAAACCATTTTTCACCCCTAAAATTTATCTCATTTCGTCCCCCATACCCTGAATTGACTTAAATTCGTTTTTTCTGTTATGAGCATATTCCTAGCTGTAAATGACAATCAGTAGATCAAAGACTGTATTATATGGCCATGTTATTTGTCTTTAAAATCACAAGGAATATGTTTCCTGATTACTTCAATCAATTTGTTACCTACAACATTGAACTTCATAATACACGGTCCTTACATAATTTTCTTTCCTTCTTTTCTGCATTTCAATCAGATTTTTGCATTGGTCTACCTCTGTATTTTTTGCAAATGCTTCACTTCCCGTAAAATCGACTGAAAGCTTCATCATACCAAACCTGGTAAAGTTCCATTCTTCAGAAAAAATCAGTTTCTTTCCCTACGTCTTATTGGTTAATATAACTTTTCAGGCCGCTATGGCATTTCACAACAAATATGACACTTTTATTAATAGATATTTTGCAATGTTCTCACCATTAAATTTGAAATATTGAAGTTGTATTTGCAAAATCTCTCAAGCCATTTTGCCACATGACATGTCTTGAATAGCCCTTTGAAGCTAGCATGGCAAGTTCTCATCTCTTTACTATGATTTCAAGAAATCGCTCAAATGTAGAAATGTATCTTACAACTACTAGTTTGATCAAAAATATTTTTCATTTACAGGCTTCACATGTATATCTTGAAGACTTTCTTAATAATTGGTATTCATTGGTTTAAAGATACCAAAAATCCAGGACAGGGTATTACCCTTTTTTATTGATATTTTTCAAATTGGTATACTTCCAAATTACTCTTGATTTGTTTCTGGGGTACATCAATTATATATTAAGAAATGAACTGTTTGAAATCTTTTTACAAACATTTCGTTACACACATTTTCAGCAAATTCCTTGTCATGTTCACGTGATTTATCCTTTTTCAAGTGTAAAGTAATCAGCTATAAGAAAACCTAGGAATATGGATGCCGTATTATTTCAATGTCTTTCAAATAAGAGACTCTACGTGAATGCTGTCAAATTTTTGCTAGTTTCTCCTAACTTTGTATATTAATTTTTGAACATCAATAGGACCATTGAAATCAGATTTTCTGACAAAATGGTGGATTATTTGTTTCAAAGTACTTTGACAGCTTGTTACTAGTTTTCAATTTCTCAATCCCACTCATCAAATTATAAAAGTATACCCTTAAATTTAGCAAAATAATACATACCATTTCATCGTAATTGTATCACATTGTAATGAAAATGAAAACTTTTACCTGGAACATTATTAACGTAACAACCATCAGCTATCAAATGCCCGTCACTTGGATCACAAATCGGAGGAAATATGCCCACTATCGACATACTTGCCCTCACATACCTCCACATCTGACCTGTTGATTAACTTAACCTAATATAAACATAAAAAGTATTCTTTTGTTGTAATGGTTTTGGCGAATTGCTTGTCGTATATGGAATTGACTAAGTATTTTGGTTTGGCAGAAGCTCCATTGTTTTTGAAGGTCAGATAGATGTTGCCATCAAATTGGAAATCTTTTAAGGCAGATTTCAAAATAATTGCCATAATAAATATCAAATAATAGGAATAATAAGCAAGTTTTATTTGAGATCTTTTCAAATAAACTGCAACACTCAAGTTTTGTGAATGATAAAACTTTCAAGTAAATTGCTACCATACATCTGACCTATGAGAACTTGAAAAAACTATTGAAAAATTCTTAAATACCATTACAACTTACAATTACTCTAAATCCAGCTTAATAAGCGAATATGAGTCCGATATTTTTTATTAACAAGGAAATCATTTGCATCTATTCCTATTGTGATTGGTTACCTTTTTTATTGAAGATTGCTTCTTCGTCTGCCTTATTTGTACTTACCTTTCAGATGATACCATCACCAACATGCACCAAATGAACAGACCAAGAAATGTTAGAAGATAATAAAAAACGGTTACCTGGCAAATTGTTAGTATAACCTCCATCGAGAAGAAGATGTCCATCTGTGGGGTCACATAATGGCGGCATGTAACCAGAGAGTGACATCGACGCACGTACATAGCGCCATAGAGAGCCTACGGAATAGCTGGACTGAACTACATGCTCTTATTTACAGATATGAGATTGATTCCATGGCATAACACTCTAAAATTCTAATGATAATAATGAATGTCAACTACAATGTCACATTTGTTCTTGTTCATTCAAATATAATTATTCAACTTCAAACAATGAATGTTGCATATTCAGAGTTTGAAAGTTTTTTATTATTTCAGAAAAGTGTTTAGACGTCTACAAATTTTTCAATGAAGACTAAATTATTAATTATATTATAACGGGTGTAAATTTGATTCAGGCAAGCACCTATAACTTTCTTGTCTTTCCTGGAATTTTGGTGATTCAAATGGTATCACAATTTAGATTGACTGGATCAAAAATATTTCCATGTTTACAAGAAATTAACCCAACTTTGGAATTCCAAATGAAACACTGTATAATCATACATATTTTTGATTCAGCATTTCACTTTACATACAAATGTTCAATTTCGGTGAAAATATAGTCAAAACAGAAATCTTTCTACTAACAGATATAATTAGCCATTTTGGTGTCATTAAAGAAATAATATCATAAAATTGAAATATCTGTAAAAAAAAATTAACAAGTGGGTACTTAGTGTGTGAAATGTATAAACCTGCAGGTTGTTCCATTTGAAATTTCAAAGTTGGGATAATTTTCTGAAAATTATAAATGTTTCAGAAATATTTTTGATCCAATCAATCCAAATTGTGATATTGCTTGACCCACCAAAAAGGAGAGACAAAAAAGTTATAAGAGCGATCCTGAATTGGTTTGCACCTGGTATGTATTTAATTGATTGTCAAATTTGTGGCTCAATTCACTTTTATCAAACTCAAAGGTTTGTATACAAAGCTAATCTGAGCGAAGTTCAAACAGACATGACTTTTGGAATTTAATTCTGGAATTGGCACCAAATATACTGGAGACAGAATATATACAGAAGGTTTTGTTAAAGTTTTTTACAATTTCCAAATTGAGAACTACTGAATAGAAGAAAAGGTACGAATGAAATGGTGTTTGTCCAGATATTAATACAGCTAAGTTTAATGAGACGATTATGTAAAGTCATAATACAGATTTCAATAAAAATTGACGGATATTTAGGGCATTACCATCAACTTTTCTACATTTACTCTATTCAAAGAAACTTTTTCAAACCAAGTTTTGAACTTGATTTAAAAAGTCCTTATTAAAGGTTTTGCTCCCGCCTTACTTTTGCAGTACAACAATAAAATTATAAATATGAGTTAAAACCAAGCTCGCCGGTTAGTCATTGCTGAGACTTAGAGATATAACCTTCGTTTTAACAATCAACGCGTATAGTACTCATGTCTGCTGTAGTAGCTGATGACATGTTTGGTACTACAAGTTTCATTCGACTAACACCTACTAGCCCGGATTTTGTTGTGAAGTTACCATTTCGGATAGTGAATGCACTTCAATTTGTAGGACCATCTGTTACAAACCTGAAATAACCTCAAACTCACTGAACATCATTCAAATTTCTCTGTCCTACTTCGTTACCATGTCATCGTGTTCTACGAAATACTTCTTGAATACCCCAGATAGTATTAAAAAACACCGACAAAAGGATTTGGTGGTTTCGAGAAAAGGTTCTGGAAGGTTCCAGACTAGAAGCAGTATATCATAAAATGTGGAAGATTCTTGTTATAGTTAATTGACAAATGATAGTTCTAGCCAAAAGTGAAGCATTTTGAGCGACCAGTGGCGTAGTGAACTAAACAAGTGATTTGTTTTTTGCAAAATATCAATGTATAATTTTGTATTTTCACTTATTGATGGACACACGAAAAATGTAACAGGCATCATACATGATTAGGCAGATTGATTTGGTAGATCCCAATAGTGAGATCTATCAAATATCTAAGACGGAAGTGGAAAACCATACATAATATATACTCATGAAGATTATTTTTAATCGGATCACTTTTAACAGAATTACTTTTTTCATGAGCTAGATCTCTTAACGGACTATTTTCGATGGAAACTTTAATAACCAAGTTGACAAGATTAACTGTGATTTTAGAGTGCTGTGACCACAAAATATGGATCAAATAGACCACATAACCTCACTTCTGTATCAATATAAGCCATTTGAAATAATGAAATATATTACTGATGGATTGGTCTGTTTCAAACAACAAAAGGAAGGTTTTGCTGTCCAATTATAGCTTTTCAGTTATACATACAACAGAATGATTAAGGAAACGTATCAGCCTTATTTCTAAAATGCAAAAAATAAAGATATGGTAAGCAGGCAAAAATGTTTCTACAGTAATTTTATAATAAAATAATGGTTTAACAAATTTCATTTCAATTGAGGTCTGTAGTTGTTGTACTAGAAAATGTGATTCGAAGTGACATGAGTATTAAAAGCGTGCATAGGAATATGGGAGAAGTGCATTGGAAGTGTTTACAAAACAGTTGGGATTAGTGACTAAAAACGATACTTTTATTCAGAAATTTCAATGTGATAAAAATCTAAACCCTAATCAATGCAATCCAACAAGTTATCTAAACAACCTAAGCGAATATTCACTAAAATGTATCCACCAGAAATAAGAATTTAAAAGAGAAACTAGATATCAACTTTTTTATGTTATTTTGAATAGAAACTTTTTTAGCAAGTTATTTCAATATTCAAAACTTTGATTACAACCTGGTCGTTTCTTAAAAATAATGTAAATCAGTTGAGGTAATTCCATCATATATTGGTGGAAAAAACAAAAAACATTTCGTCACCATTTCCCAAATATCACCAATAAAAGCAATTTTTATGAGCTCTATCATATGATGCATATATAGATATTTTAGAAAAAGATTTTCAATCATTTACAACCGATAAGCGTTTCAATGCAACAGAAATAATGAAGCACAATAATTCAAAGTAAGCAATTAAGTATAATGTATTTTAGTTTAATTTTATGGCAGCAGGATAATTTCTACAACTACATACATACCGACAACCCTATTAAAAGGTCCTGAAGGAAATCTAACACAAATTCAAGACCTCTATTTTCTGAAAAAATGTTAGGAGAATTTTTTAGTTTTTTCTTTTGTATAACTGATATAAATTCTATTCAAATCGGATCAAAACCATTTCAATAAATTTCACTGCTAACACTTAGGTTAACCAATCACAATCGGCGCATTCATTAAAAAAAACGCGAGCTAATTAATTTAAGAAGCAAACAATTTTTTCTACGGCAAATAATAGCTATGAAGCACGCTGCATGCGAAAAGAAAAAGTGCGACTAATAAAAATAAGTTGATTAGAAAGAGTTTCATTATATAATAGAGTAGAACACATATATAAAAGATTTGAATTCAAATAGAGTGAAATACCATTGAAGTATGCATTGATACTATGAAAGAAAAAAAAAAGGAAAGTAATGTATTTATATTCATTTTGGTAAAATACAACACTAATTCAAAGATAGATAACACATCACAGCTTAAAAACATATGAAACCCATAGAAACCTTGAAAAAGTTAAAGATTGTGAGTTTGAAGGACAACTATAGTGAACCAATTCTACAGTGTATGTAATTCGGTTTGAACTCTGAAATGCTAGATTTCTAGCAGAGTTGATTAGGTCCACCTGTTCTCTTGGTGTCAATAAAAAAATTATGGTTTTTTGTAAGAGTCCAGTAACCAACTCAGTAGTCTTGGCATTTTATTTCTCTGCCAACAAAAATTTTCCTTACATTTACTTGAGTCTTCCTCATTTCATTTAATTTCCAGTACCCATGAAAAGATCTGTTGACCAGTTATCTTAGAGACTATTCAGTCACCAGCAAGTATGAAATCAACAAATGTGTTTGCAGTGCTCTAATATATATGAACTTCTTTTACACAATCATCTCTCTGGAGTTTGGTTGGATATTTCATGTTTAGTAATACTAATCAAATGCATAATATTATTTTCATCAAAAGTCAAGCCAGTAATTAGTGCGAATAAACTAATGATGAAACACCATTTCATTCCAGGAGACTTGTACTAATAACATTTATGTTTCAAATACTACAAGATATGAAGAACTCACCATGTGAATGAATTCTCATGCAGGAAGATGTAATATCAGTAGTGACGGTGAAGTAGGGTAACCATAAATCTTCTATATAAGTATCTCCAAATGTACCGCGAATTGTTTGGTTAAAGTCTCGGCCACTAAACATTGAAGTCATTGGATAAGTCATGTCTAAGATCTGACGCCACCACTGAGTCATTTTCTGAAAAATACGAGGTCACTAGTCATAATATGTCTCTGACAGACAGAAAATACAACAAAGAATTTGATACATCTATCAGTCAAGAAAACACAGTTTGTGTACATGGAAGAGAAAAACAAAACTGACTACTACAAGGATCAGTATCTGGTCCATTTCTATTTCTTAATTAATGTCAATATTGGATTATTAACCTAGAAATAACTAAATATGTGTTGAAATATATTCATATCAAAAACATGAAACAAACTGGAAATTAATTTTAAGTTTGGTAATTAATCTTCCTCATTTTAAGAAGATTTGAAACAGTGATAAATATAACCTTACCTTTGACCACTCTCTTGCTTTCTGAGTAACAGTAGTTATATTTCTTTCTTGACACCACAAGGCCCCCATAAAAGCACCTATACTAACTCCTCCTACCATATCAATGGGAATACCAGCTTCCTACAAAAATAATAAAAAATTGATGTAGTAAACAATTGATGTAATTAATATTATGTCAGAAGCACAAATAAAGTTTTGGAAAAATGTAAGATTTTCCTCTTGAGCTTATTTTATTCCAGATATTCTATTTCATCACAATTTTGAATTTTCATTAGAACATTAATGCAGCACTTGGTGCTTACAAGTAACCTGTCAACTATCCATAATCTACAAAATCTTATGACATAATGAGTATCTGGTTCAATAAATGGAGGATTAGACTAAATCCTAAAAACTCGGTTTATCATATTCAAATATAAAATTTTTCAATCCTCAACAACAGTCGACTTAGACCAACATATCATTCCCCAAATGCTGCTTCAAAAGATTGGCTCCCCAAATCTTAAGCGATATGATTTAACTAATCCTTGTCTTGTATTATAATCATGGATGGTATTTATTTGATTGAAATCTAAATTCAAATGTTTGTGTTCTTTTTCAACAGAAAAAGAACACAAACATTCATACTTGCATACTTGGATGATAATGAATTATTCTTAGGTAAACACTCAGGATTCAGAAAAAATCATTCCTGTGAATCAGCTATTCAGTATACTTTCTCTAGATGGAAAAATGCAATGAGCTATGTGGCACGTAGGGCCCTCCTGTTGAAACCATATGTCATTGGTGTCCAGATCATCCAATTTAGGTTGAAATAAGTTGGCAACCATCACTCCATAATGCTCCCCATTGACAGTTATGACCTGGCCAACATCGATCTCAAAAAAATATGGACCGATGATGCCTCCAGCTCAAAATCCACACCAAACAGTGACCTTTTTGGACATTGGACGCTAGTAGATCTCAGGTTTTATAGAGGCCCCCCTCAGTTTGGTCAATCAAATATCAGTTAATAAAGCTCCACATACAAATTTCAAGGAAAACTTTTTTAATGTGTTCACAATGTTCTTGAAACCATTTACTGAAACTGAACTATTATCCTTATTATGGAATAAATTAAAAAATAAGAAATCCTCTGGAGCAGATGATATTCCCATGTATATTTGGAAAATAATTCTTCCAACGATAATAAAACCATTAACATATCTGATTAATCTGTCATTTGTAAAAGGTGTCTTTCCGCAAGAAATGAAAATCGGAAAAGTAACTCGCATTTTCAAGAAAAACAACTCGAACTTAATGGAAAATTATCGTCCAGTAACAGTACCATATGGACTATCAAAGATATTCGAATATGCATTTTTGGATCGACTTACTTCATTTTTGAATCTACACAAAATATTAACAAACACGCAGCATGGCTTTCGTGCAGAAAAATCAACTAATACTGCCATTTTTTCATTATATAATGAGGTAATCATAATATATTGAGGCAGGTGAATGCCTAAGAATAACTTCATTTGCACCAGAATACATTGGAATAAAAATATTCGACAAACTGCCCGATCATTTAAGGGAAGAACATAATTATGTGATGTTTAAGAGAAATTTAAAGAGTTTTCTAATTGAACAATGTTTTTATTCATTGAATGAATTTTTTAGATTAGATAAGTAGGGTATTATTTTAGTTTTAAGGTGTTGTTTCAACTTGTATGTTTCTTATACTCTGTTTTTATTGACTATTCCTATACAATATATATTGTCTACACGGAAATGAAGTATTATTATTATTATTATTATTGGTATTGGTATTGGATTGGTATCGTCCTAAATTCGACAATTTTGTTTGTTCGCGTACCCATTCATCCAGAAATGGGCCTCATCGCCCATGATTTTTCGATGAAAATTAGGGTCGGTTGCCAACTGCCCCAGAGTCCATTCAGCGAGTACACGTCGCTTTCTATGATCGCTTACCATCAGTTCTTGTTTCACTTGAATTTTGTATGGGTGCAGGCCCAAGTTACGACGCAAAATTCGTCAAGTTGTGGTCTGCGAAAGGCCAACTTCTTGTGAGCGACGCGAAATCGACTGCCTCGGATTCTCCTACACACTCTCGCAGACAGTAGATATTTTCGGCCAATTTTTCATTTCGTCGACGAACGAGTGTTGATCGATCATTTACTGAACCAGCGGACTCAAATTTATTCACCACATTGTGGTGAATAAATTTGAGTCAAAGTTCGGAAGTCCCTGTTGAAAGACCCCTTAGAAGAAATTCCAGTTTGGGTCATTCTGAATTAAAATTACAAAGCCGATCATGAAATGTCAGTAAAATATTATTTCTTGAACATGTTAGACATAATTAGAAGTAAAGTTCTCCATTAATATTAGTGCAGTAGTAAATGTAGACAAATAACTAACTTGTATAGCTTTGATCATCCCGATGTGAGCTGATCCTCTTGCACCACCTCCTCCTAAAACTAATCCGACAGATTTTCCTGTCAACCATCTAGCCAAACGGGAAAAATCTGAGTGAATGTTTGGACTAGTTGTACATACTTTTGAGTATAATTCATTCTGAAAGGTATCATGTATTAAAATTTGTATAAAAAATATATTTTATTTCTTACGATTCTATAGAGCGACTTCCTAGAAAATACTCTATTGGGACAAACAAGGTGATGATGTGAAGATACCCAAGTTCTCATATTCAACCAAGCGATGGTATTGTGAGGTTTACCGCCTTCTTTATGCAAAAGAACAAGTTCCTTTTGTGTTCTTATGGCCAACCGTTCAATTTCTTTCTCTACCTTTCCGAGTGTGGGATGGTTCTCTCCAATACCTATTATCAAGATACAATCGGCCTGTCTGATGCAACGCTGAGTCCAAGCACTAACCGTTAGATCGCACTGGTATAGTGAAATTTTGTAATGATCCTCCTGCTGCGCCAACCAGGAGGAAAGACGATACTCGTTGTTTGGATCCATGATTTTCGCACCGAGAGTTTTACGAATTACTTCCGAAGTCAGTCTTAAAGTTGATCCTGGACCATTCCAAATAAGTGAATTAATGGTAATTTATTTATAGACGGGGTTCACCAAAAGGTTATACCTTTTTAAGAACTATTTATAGCTTACCAATGGCACTTAAACAATGATGAAGTTCATAAGTGAAAGAAGTGAGTGGAACATCATCTGATGCAGCAACAATTGCCACAGTTGAGAAGTTGATCTGTGAGGGTCTGCTTTCCACAGCAGAAGTACTCGGAGAGTGAACACTCAGCGAAGATTTTTTCCATGTACCTGAAACATTGATAATAATAATAATGACTTCAACATATTTGAAATGATCAACATACATTTTGGATTGTCTTTAATTTTTTTATTTACATGAACATGATAATACAAGTCCAACTTCAACACTAATAATAAATAATCTCACCTAATATCCTATGACCTAATAAATTAATAAGCCTAGTTACAACTATTGGATATCTTAGTTTGATTGCATTGAATAAACCTTCAGGAAGTTTCGCCAGTTCAGAGTCTCTGACAGCTATAACAGTTGTACTTCGTTTTGTTTGTGTCACCATCTCAACCTGAAAGATTCATATCCACGGTATTCAAACAAGAGCATCATAAAAATAATTCTTGGAGGCCAATTTCTTTGTGTTAACCCTCCGATGGATGAGTCCCGCGGACGTTAAACCGGAGAAAAAGGTCCCTAGGGACCTTCAAAAAATATACTGAGGTCACATGAATGATAAGTATGCAGGTGTCTTAAAATTATGCCTACATGAGTATATGCATGTAGCTTATGGTTTTATGAAGTGCCTGAATGATACAGATAGGTAAGACACGTAAAATATGAGTGATATGGGAAAAAAAAGAAGATTGATTTTAATTCAGGTAAAATATTTCTGGTTTATTTGGTCAGATAGGTAGTAGAACAAATCACAAAAATATTACAAAAATTGTATTTGCATTCTATGTTATTACTGCATTGATGTACATCTGGTGCTTGGCAAGTGAATTTTGTAATTGACACAAAACGATAAAGAAACTTTGAATATTGGAGCATGAGTTGAGCCCCATAGTTCCTCTACAGGCTCGGTGTTGGATTTTATCAGCCAAGCATACAAAATAATCGCTACGAACGCGTCAAACTCTTTCAGAGTCAATGGTTTCCATTGCTTCTGCATGGTAAAAATTTTTTGATTCCATGTGGCAGCTACCTGGTTGACCTTGCGATTCGTTACGCGTATGATAATTTGAGTAATATCTTCGGTAATCAGAGAAAGATACATTGAAAGCGAATCTCAAATCATCTTCTTTGTTGGTCCTGGTTTATTTTGTTTTTAGTCGATAATGTTATGAGTGGTGGAGGATCTTTGTACCATTTTGTACCATTTTTTGAAATAAAGTAAGTTGCATCAGTCTCAGTCTGAGGAAGAGCAGCAATGACTGCAATTGATTTCTATCTTTCCTTCAACTTCAACATTGGACACAGTCCTATCATATTCTGGCCAATATGTAAGGTCAGTGTCATAATCACCGTCATCAAAAGGGTCACCATTGTCGCCCATTTCAGCTTCCATACAAGCCCGACATTTTGCATCGACGATACGTTTATCCTCCTCAGTCAAACGCTGGTAGCGTGTAGTATTATTATTCACAACCCTGTTCACAAGATCCCACTCATCGTCTGCCATTGTTCTACAGAATAAAACGAACCACACAAAATTATACACTAAACAAAAATTAAACAAACAAAATTACCCTATAAACATGAAGAATAGCCAAAGAAACAAAATTATACACTCGAAAGAATTCAATAATAAAACTCAATTGCGCAATAGTACGTCTTTACTCGTCAAGCGATGGTCTCGCATTGGCTGGTACCTGGCTCAAATACACATTCAACGGTTTTTTCCACAGTAACCCTTTCTTATATATAAGGTCCATAGGGACCTTGTACCTGGGTTTGAGTAGAAAATGACTTAAAACAAAAGAAAAAATGGAACCGGAGATTGAAATATTGTAAAACGTCCGTACGGACCTTCTCACTGATCGGAGGGTTAGAAAACCAAAACCTTCTTTCTCAAAAATAAATCCCTTCTGAAAAATATACCCCTTTCAATTCAAACATGATTCCTATGGCTGGGATTTAATCAAATAAGCGAATGAATGTCATTACGTACTGTCATTGATGACATGAGTAGATCAAACTCATTCTGTGACATGAAGTCATAATTTCATGAATGGACTGAGTTTTTTTTTCTTAAAATGTTATCCAGATTTGGTACTGAAGAGCTGAAAAGGCAAGTGTTCTACGGCGAAACATCGAATGTCTATCAGTGAGGAAGACAGTGTTCCATGTAAGTGAAATTTCACCCTTTTCATTTACTATATTGTGTAGAAATCCTGTGAATATCTGATTCAATTCCATAACAAATGTTTGAAATACAAACTGAATTGTTTTTTTTTTGTATAATTCAGTGTTCATATAAAGTATTTGTTTCGAAAGTATTTTTCTTACGTGTAATTCAATGTTAATTTGATAGTTGTTGTTTCGAGAGGGCTTCTCCTTCCAGTTTGTGTCTGGAAGTTACTTCTTTGCATGGTCTACACATCTTTCTATAGAGTTGCTTCTTTTGAAATTGATTGCCTCCTTCCTTTCTTTGGTAGATTTCCACATTATTTTTTTTGTAAATTGATAGAGAAGTAGAAAGCCAAAAACCTTCCTTTCACATTTTTTTTTTAACAATTGATGAATATACAACCTGCTGAAGAGTTTACTGGTGACTATCAATGATGCATTATCTACCAAATTTAATATAACTTGGTTTACTTTATAGTTTTCCCAAATAGTTTTTTGAATTCGTGATGTAGACTCTACATCATAGGAAACAAATCCAGACTGATAGTCTATGGATAAAACTTCAACCTATAATATTGAAAACGTATTCAAAAAACACTTTATTGTGCGATTTTCACTAAACAGTTTTACAAAAACGTGTTTCACCACACAATGGTCTCTGAGGGCGTGTCTTTACTCTAAGACACGCCATTGTATGGCCAAATAAGTGTTGCGTTTTTGTAAAACTGTTTAGTGAAAATATCACAATAAAGTGTTTTTTGAATATGTTAGTTATGGATTTTCATCAAAATCTGCCAATTCCATCATATATAATAGTGATCTCTGTAAAGACTTAACACTTTTTCTGTATTTCGGCAGAATTCAACGACATGAAAAAATAATGAAATTTTTGGAGTGATTTTAATTTCCAATACCATATATTTTTTTAATTTCAATACTTTTTTCAAAAATTTTTCAATGTATATTTCCGAAGCAATCATGACAGCATGACAGGTTTGGTCTAAGACAAATGCTAAAAAAAAAACGTCTTACTGAAACTTTTAGAAATGTACAGAATGATACGGCACTGAAAATGATACTTCTGTTAGGCCTGGCTTTGCTAAAATTTCTTCTAAACCAGTTTTAATATCTTGGATTCATTCCAAGCCTATTATTGCATGAACATATTTCCTACATAAGTAAAAAAATTAGTAAGAAACTTTACTTCTTTTCTAAAATTTCCTCATGTCTTTCAACATACTCCAAAATTACAGTATATATCACCATTATCCAGCCCCACTTTAATTATTGTGGTAGCTTACAGTACTCCCTTGATTCTGATAAAATTTTACAACTACAAAAGCTGCAAAATCACGGTACGAGAATAATACTGAAGTGTAATCGTTTTACCAGCGATGTCAGATTGTTTGCAGTGGGTATCGGTGAAAAACAGATTTTATAAATTAACAATGATTTTTATTTATAAGATATTAAATAAGCTACTAATAAGATTATCTAAGTGAATTTACTACGATCAACTCCCAAATACATAACTATACTACTAGAGGAAATAATATGTTTCATCTCCCTAATTGGAAAACGGCAAATTCAATGAAATCACTATTCTATAAAGGACTCGATGAGTTCAATAAGCTACCACAAGACATCAAGCAATCTAATACCATTTATGTATTTAAAACGAGGATCAGTAAACATATCCAGTCNTACAAAAACGCAACACGTGTTTCCCCATACAATGGCTTCTTCAGGCGTGTCTATACATAGAATAGACATAGTATAGCGAAAAACACATTTTTATAATACTGTTTAGCGAAAATCTCACAATAAAGTGTTTCTTGAATATGTTATGGATTTTCATCAATTTTGAGTTTATTGTTATAAAAATACAAATGAATATTTGCTAGGAGTTTATAGCAGATTATTACTTGAAATAGATTACATTGTATCATCTGCAAACAGGGTTTATTTATTTACAACAAAAATAATAATGGTCACAAGACTGTACTTGTGAAACACCAAATGAATTTTCAACAGGTGGAGAAAAACTATTTGATTATGAAACTAAGCTTTTAATGGCTGAGGTAGTTCATGAATCATTCAGTATGAGCTATTGACAGCTGTTACAGTACCCAAATCAATGGTATTGAATCAAATCAGAAAATTGGACAAAAAGAAATGAAGAATACTGGGAAAATATACCTTAAAAAATTGATGGATGTAGCCGTTATTATGTGGTAGGAAATCATCATGTACCTCTGAAACAGGTACTACACGACAGCTGAACCAATTTATGACATTCATGAATAATCTCAATAGAAACATTCAGTTCACACTCGAAACAGAGATAGACGCACAGATAAATTTCTTAGACCTGACCATTACACACAATCAGAATAAATTAGAGTTCAATGTATTCAGAAAACCTAGCTATACAGACATTACCATCCCGAGTGATTCTTTCCATCCGAACTGTCATAAATTAGCAACGTACAATTCAGGGGCGTAGCTACCGCCGTATCAATTATACGGGGCCCCCAAACCACGAGAGCCCCTAAAGTGCGTAAGCAAAAATTAATAATAACTTCCCAATTTTATTTTACTTCTGAAATGACAAGATTGAAAACAAACAAATTGTTTTTTCCCGTTTAAAAGTTGGCAACACCCTACACTACATCGGTTACTATCGTTGGCTGCGGGATTTTCCCTGTTTCAGTCATATACTTCAACGGGGATGCCCCCGTAAAATAATATATAATCTGCATACCAACCACGGAGAGCATTGTTTATTGAAGTGTTTAATTTAATTGTGCATTACTTTGCAATACAATACAAACAATTTGTTCTCCTGATTAAATAGTGTTAGCAGAGATTTATAAAAAACAATGAGTGAAAGGAAAATAGATTATCCCAGCGGAGCTACGAAAAGAAAAAATAAACAGAAAAAGGAGGAGGTCATAAAGAAAGTGCCCAAAATTTTTTCATTTTTTCATACACCTTCTGTAAGTGATTGCAAAGGTAAGTATTATCCCTAAGTAAAAATTTTACTATCCAACCCATTTATCTCATCTACCTGGAGGATTACTATTAATATTTTTCCGATAGCGATTGAGTTTCCGATGATTGTATTCCATAGTAAAATCATTTACAATTATTCGTAAATGTATATTGGTTTGTTTATTTAAATAATTTTACTATGGCAGACATTCGTCGGAAACTCAATTGAAAAAAAATAGTAACCCCCCTGTACCTAAAATGAGAGATATACTTTAAATTTAATAGTTAATCAAAGAGGATATACCTCAAAAGTTAACCTATAATTTTTTCTTGATATTCGGTTAGATTTTGCCTTAAAAAACAACTTTTTGAATGGTGACTGCGTAAAACCCTATATTTATGATGATAATCCAAGCTAAATTTGATTTCTCAACTTACGGTGAGTGATTGATTGCAAATTATTTTGAATAGCAAACCATTTCAAGCGTATGTTGTATGTTCATAAATTATCTTCAGTTTTAATTATTTTCGTAAAGCTGCGCATGGGCTGCGCTGCGCGTATGGGTGACTTTGTACTAGCACGCGAAAAGTGTGCGAATGTCTTTACAGTTTACACTCACTTATCGTAACCTTATGCAGAGTAATTTATTTAACATTCATTTTTGAAATTTCTGAAAACTTTCGTTTTTATTTTTTAACAATTGTATTTTCAGATTCTCCTGAAGCACATTCTTCATCAGATGTCCATCCAGAAATCGAAGAAACCGAAGTGCATCCTTCATCAGATGTCCATCCAGAAATAGAAGAAACCCAAGCACATTCTTCATCAGATATCCATCCGGAAATAGAAGAAATCAAAATCGACGATTCTTTGATATCTGAAGATTGTAATATAGTTTCATCAGATAGAGGAAATTTTGGTGCAAATCCAACTGAATGCGAACGAAAAATAATTTTTAAATTGGGTCCACTTAAATCACAAGGACCGTTTCCAAAAGATTCAGAAAGTAACCGATCTTTTTCGGCCTATTATTATTCATATTTCAATAAGGCAGGCATAAAAATTCCAAGACCCTAGTTATGTTATTCTAATGTTTTACACAAATCGTATTGCCACTTTTGTTGGTTATTAGCAGATCGTCAAAGCAAATCGTACTCTACTGCATGGGTTGACGGTGTTTCGGTTAGATTACAATTCAATGTTACACAGAACATTCTCACTACCTTCGTCTGCTAACAATCTAGCTTGGAAAATTAAAATAATTACACAGATAGGACACAATAATGGTTTCAACGCAGACAGACTCCAGAAGTTAGAAATCAAAGCCGTAAATTCACTTACAGATTAATATACCCCCAGATCAAACAATCAGAAATCAAGAAATGGGTAACTCTAACATATTTTGGTAAACGAACAGAGATAATTGCGGGTTTCTTCCAAAAAACAATGTGGAAGTGGCATTCAGACCACATGCCAGATTATCTGGCATGCCAAAGATAAAGTGGACAAGTTGGAGAAATCTGGAGTTTATAAGCTTAAGTGTCTGGAGTGTAGTAGTGTTTCTGTGGAACAATGTGGTCGAAATTTCTCAAAACGGTATGCTGAACTTGAAAGGTCCTTCAGACTAGGTAAAAATGATTCGACGTTTTCCAACCATTCCTTGACATGCAACCACAAGTTCCCGAATCTAAACGATAGGGAAATTTTGCACTATGCAAGGAAGGGTTGCAAACTCAATTATTTGAAATCTTTGGAAATTCACAAGCATAAATATTGCAGGTGCAACCTGTTAAATGATCAAATCCATCTAGTTTACTCACCGGTTTTCAAATTGGGGCATCCGTATTGCCACAAGTAAAAAAAATGCAGGTACTCAATTAAGATAAGTACCTCTATTATTACCGACAGTGGTGTATATAAGGTTTAATGTAATCAATCATTTTTAGCTTAATGTATTAGTTTGAAAATGTCCTTATAGGACGAAACGTTAGATACAAATAAAAGTGGTAAAAAACATAGAAAGTTTCAATTCTCATTATTCATAAATGTGTTAACTTCCTTGTACCTGTCTGGAAATTTTGATATCAAGTGATCAATGTTCTTCACAACCCCCTTAAATTTGAAAAAACTTACCTATAAAAAGTGTTCTTAGATATCAATGCAATTCTTGTATGATGTTTGGCTTTAATGGTGAAGAAGCTTGGTTCTCCTGTGAGTACAGCCAATCCTCCAACTATCTCCCCTGAATGAGAGGTGAACATGTGAATCTCTTCCTCGCCATCAAACATTTTCTGTGAAACTACTAAGGCTCCTGATATTACATAGACAAGAGCACAATCCTAAAAAATTACTATGTTTAGTTTAAATGGGGAAATTACACATTTAGGAAATTTTGCCTTGGACATTTGTGGGTTCATTCTACCAAGGACGAAGATGCTCTCAACATTTGATCTTTCCTGATAAAAAATTAAATTAAATACACATTTTATTCCAAATGTGAGTTGCTCCTAAAGTCAATTTATGCAGCGGGTACCTACATATTCTGAAACGTAAGAGATATAAAGTACTGAGATATGTAGCTGACTTGTTTATCCTAGTCCAAGAGAAATGTAACAATATAATGTGGAGACACATGCATAGGATTTGAACATAATAAGAAGACAGACCAAGTAAGAATGGTTCGACATAAACCTATCCAGATTGACCAGCAAGAGGACAAAGACAGCAAGTAGGGTAGTAGTGAGTGGGTACTTTCGACTGCAAGGATTTATTGTGGCACACTTTTTCAAATTTGGCCAGATAAATCCAGCTTGGGATTCAACAAACTGATGACATTTGGTTTGTTAGGTTATGACAGTTATCAGAGTGGGTATAAAAACAATTGCAGTTATGACTTTTGTGACTGCGTAGCTGAACAATTATTATGTCATAATAGAGGCAAAGTCAAAAATATAACAATGAATTGATGGATGTAGCCATTGCTACGTCGTAGGAGATCATCATTAAAAAGTGAAACTTTCAATGTTTTTTTACTACTTTTATTTTTTGTTACAGCAGTAAAGTTAGTTACAAATTGAAGTGGTTAATTTTACTGCAGTTTCGTCCTATGATGACATTTTCAAACTAATACCATAAACTTTATTGTATTAGTTTGAAAATGTCCTCATAGGACAAAATTGCAGTAATGTTAGTTACAAATAAAAGTGGTAAAAAAACACAGAAAGAAATATAACACATTATGAAAAAGTTTATATAACTCAGCTAATAACTTAACAGAACACTTATTGATTCTAAGACAATATGAAGTTCGCCGGGTCAGCTAGTCATAAATAAAATAAAAACGTCATGGCTCATTTGAATGCAAATTTCATTGTTAATTCACTTTTGTTCATTGTCACTTCATCACAAATTCCGATTATACTTTTTTTGTTATTGAAATAACTCCTTCTCTTCTGGTTCCAACCCGAACAAAAACATTTTTAATTTGTCTTTCCATTTCTTTATTAAAGTAATATTTTTATTTCAGTAGTGATTAATTTCTAGTTGAAATGTATCACGAACTGTTCATATAGCTGAAGAGAAATTAAATATGGGTAGATGTAAATTCAAAAGTGATTCAAGGCATCATTATTCTAAAAATAGTTTGAATATCTACTGAACTAACTGAAAATAACAATTGTTATTCAGTGATACCTCACTATTCAGGAAAAAACTGGTCAATAAAATATCTAGGCACATACTCAAGAAAAAACCTCAGAGGTTATGAAAATTTTGAATCAAAAACATGTTTTTTGATATTTCTTCAAACACCAATACAAAACTAGAAAATAAATATTCGAAGTAAAATCTCAACACATTCATCTCTCCCAACTACCTACACGTAGGTAGGCTTGGGGCTTTGTTTACAAGATGGAGCTGTTAACAGTTAACAATCTTTCTCTTAGACGAAGGTTTCATACATGCAGTTGAGCCACGTCAAAATTCATCAAGCCCCAGGCACTTTGCTGGTTGGGTCGGATCTTTCCCGCACTGGTGAGAGGTAATACCTCGAAACCAGTCTGTAGGTGACCTACTCAAATAATTTCAGCATGGTCCTACTGCTGGATGAACGAGAAACACCTGCAAGACTAATCTCAGTGAGGTTAGTCTCGCAGATGTTGGATATAACTCAATATCCAAAGTGGTATTAGCCGAAGAAGTAGTTGTTTTCCAGCAGCCATTAATCAAAACCTATGGTGTAGGTAGTTGGGAGAGAAGAATACTTCGAGATTTTATTTTGAAATATTAATTTTCTAGTATGTATATATCTCTTCTTGATACAGTCTTTAGACATGGTTAAGCAATATAGAACACAAAAAATTAAATTGATTGACTATGTTTTATACCCCATAATTCCCGAACCAGTATTGATTTTATGAATTTTTTTCACCAGGAAATAGATCATCTTTTTTCTCATTCATCAGATCACAATGATATGTGATATTATACATTTTCACACGATATATTAACTTAGATATTGTTATATATAATTATGAGGCCTCTATAAGTGGGTGGATCATTCAAATATGTCCCTTTTGCAACATACCTTGTTTGAATCTTCTTTCATTATATATGTTCCAGCTGGAACTTCTCTAATCTCAACTTTCCCTTCTATTATTGTCTCATCATCCAGACCTAAATCTCTGACAAATGCATCAGTTGCAATTCGAATTAGCTCTTCATCATCTGGGTAATCAGGCATAGATGCCCTCTTTTTCTGAATCAAAGTCAAATCTGGGTTCTAAAATATGAAACAGCGATATTATCACTATATAAGGTCAACTTGTTGGAAAACTTTTGGTTAACAATCTTCTAATCCTCCGTTAAGATAAAAAACAGGTGAGACAAATGTTTCTTTCATCTAACGTCTATCCAATCCAATATCAAGGTAGTAATTACTTTCAAAAAGTGGAGAGTTAGCCTAAAATAGGTACCTAGATACTCTTGTGAAACAAACTACATTTGATTACATTAAGTGTGCACAATTAGAAATTCTTTCATTATCGGAGATATGAAATTGTTTAGGTGTATAGAGTTCATGAATATCATTCTGAAGAATTTCTTGGACAAACTTGACTTCATATGCAGGTACGTTTGTACGGAGACGTAACCGCTGGTGTCCATTGATGGAAAGGAAAGATTGCCACTATCCAATAGCCTCCAGGTTTCTTAATATAACACCCCTTGACTTTTTGTGACTTTATTTAAAGAACGAAATTTATAAGGAGAGTTATGCTGAATTGAAAATCCTGCAATATATTAATGGCAGGGCCGTGCTAAAAATTGTTTTGCCAATAAAACAAAGGGCATAAAATGTACTGAAACCCTACAAGAAATAATTAACCATTTTTTATTACCAATCAAAATAGTAAAGTTGAAGTTCATCATCTATTTGCTTCACTATAAGATTGTCACATTCTATTATTACCAAAATATAATTTTCTACGAGAACCTTACATTCATTACAAAAAATTAAATTCCACACAAAAACTTTTCTTGCAAGTTAACCTTAAAAAATGCTATTAGTTTGTCAATTGAATAATTTTTATATATTCAATAATAGCAAAATAACTAATGGTGTAAACTTGATGTGGATCAGCCTGTATAAATTGAATTCAAACAAAATAGTCAATAACTACATCCTTTTCAATTGAATACTAATGTCAGAGACTATAGACAATAACTTTTGAAGTACTAATATGTATGTATCAAATTTATTCATTTCATTTTCATTTAATAAATGCATATTTTCTTCAAAACTTACATTATTACTTATACCACTTTCTGCATCTGCTATCATATCTGGAGTATTTGAATAAGGTGAAAAAGATTTTGAATCTAACGATGACTTGCTTCTTTTATGGCCTGGCACAGGTATTGGTTGTGTAGATGTAAACGAGCTGTCTGTACCAAAGGTAGATGGAGTAGCATCATCCCGTTTTTTCTTTGGGGATGATAAGGGATTTTTTTGTTTTGGATGCTAAAAAATATGGTTAAATAAACTCATGTGTAAGTACCGTCATATTATATTTCTATAATATAGAAATATAATATGATGATGTCTATATGGAGAATTTTGAATAAAATAAAGAAAATAAAAACGAAAGAGATAGTCAAAAATAGTTAATGACAAAAAAATCTGTGGAATAGTTCATTTCTAAAAAAAAATCTTTCATTTCTTTAATTTCTCCAAAAATATTTTTTTATTGTGTGTTCATTTGTCTGATATTATAAATATATCAATCTTTTTTAGTTTAATATTTAAATATTTTATGCTTCAAATTTGCACTTGCTTGCAGTACAGTATGTCTCATTCTTTGCAACTTACACCTCAAGCAGTGAAATGAAACCCAAATATCCTACCTGTTGAACTAATTCTGCACTAAGTCCTAAGTATTGATGTAAGGCTGTGAAAGTTACTCGTTGCAATCTAACCATAATAACTTGTAATACCCTCACAAATATATCTGGATACTCCTGAAATATTTCCTGAAATGCAGCCATTGGCAACTTCAAAATTGTGGAATCTTCAATTGCCTTAGCTGAAACGGTTTTGTAAGGTTTTGTGTGCCCCTAAAATATAGACTGTTATACAGAACTTTTGTTTTTCATCCTACTTACAGTTAAAACATCTGTGAAACTCAATAAAGAAGTTACAGATTCGCCAGGTTTCACAATTTTTAAGGTATTGGTTCCCTCATTTCCTGTGATAGTAACATTAAGTCTTCCACTTTGCACTATGTAAACATTCTCATCTGGGTCACCTGGATTCAATTTCTTGTAGATCACTTTCAACAGTTATTCATGAAATACTTACCTATCCTGAACAAATATGATCCTGCACTAACATTTAAAATTTCGGTGTGTTTGCAAAGTTTCAAAAAAACAGGTTTTTCAAAGTGTCCAAAAACTCTTATACTCTGAAGCATATAAAAGGCATCAGGAGGCATACGTTCATCAGTAAGCATATCTTCTTGGAGGTACTCGACTGGTGGTTCCAACACCTTGAAAATATAATAATATTACGTTTATTTATAATATAAATACAGATTGGTAATTTGAAATGTGTTCCTGTAAATATATCTTTTCATAAATAACTAAAAAAAAATTCTTACAAAGATAATCTTTTAGTAAGGTATGGTATTAGCCGAAGAAGTAGTTGTTTTCCAGCAAATTATTATTTTTTGAATGATGCAACTAATTTTCCTTTATTTTCAGTATTTTAATATTAATGTAAGTCACAAAAAGGATTTGAAGCTTTGTAACTACTATTTAATTATCTGCGAGCGCTTTCGACAGCTGGTCGTGTTATCATCATCTGATCGTGCTATCATCATCTAGGCTCTACTCAAACTGCAGTTTGAGATATCTCAATTTTTCTTGGCAGAGAGTTGATATGTGAATCCTATCTTAAGTGTTTATCAATTCATGATGCCTTAACATTTTATACAAACAAATTTATACAGTTTCAAAACATCAAAAGCAGCATAATTACCTTTAATTGTTCTTGTTCTGTTTCCTTCTTCAATTGCAAAATTTTTCTAGCAAACTTCATAACCAATTTTCTTTTTTTGCCCTGACCAGAATTTCTAACTTGTCCAGAAATATTTTTAACTTTACGTATCATTTTTCTGCCATAGAATAATGCCTTGTCTCTTTTCCGAAATCTTGTTGTTTCTTGAGTAAGGACCTCTTTTTGAGAAAAAACTGTTGAAATATTACATTATTAGAAAATGATTGGAGTGAAATGAGCATTAATTATGAATGTGTTAATTTGATTTATTGGTAATGGTAATTATTACTCTCTGCATTATTTGATATTTGTGTAACTATATTATAAACTTAACTAAGGTTTTTTTGTAAAATCAATTGATTGATGTAGCCATTTCTACGTGGTAGGAGATCATCATGAAAAATGAGAAATGAAAAAACAAAAAGTTTCAATTCTCATTTTTCATTATTTTTTTTTTGTATAAACTGTGAAGTAGTTATTCTACTAATGTGATAAAATCAAATTAATTAAAACTCACCTTTTCTTGAACATTGTTTGACACATAAGATCACCACTGTTGCTAGAATAAACACTATTCCTATGACAAGTAAATAAAATACCTGAAACAAATCACTTGTGAAAACCATTTCTTCTGAGGTTAAAGTCTTCAATGATTCAAATATTGGTCAAATAGGGTATCCTCACAAAATGTTCAATAACTTTTCCTTGAAATACCTAGTTATCTTTGTCCGTAGTTTATATTTACACAGATATTTATCACGTTCATATAATTCATATAACAAAACATTTTAATCACCCTAGTATTTTTACTGTACTTATCTGTATACAAGTTTTTTATTTGTGTATATTATTATTACCTTATATGTTTCTGCATTTTGTATAGATAAATTTCCAATCCATGTAGACTTTGTTATTACTCCTAAATCGGAATTGAAGTTTTTTATTGCATTTAATACATCCATATTATGGCATTCATATTATATTCAAAATACTTATGACTTATATTTCCACTTATATATCGATATGTTATCAGTCAATGTCAAAATTGTCAAATAAAGTGTGAAGTGTGCAACATGAATTGTCAATGGTATTGATGCTAGAGAAATGTATGATCATAAAAATACTAATAAGAACATTATTTCTTTTTATACTGTTGTCACATCATATATATTATAATATACAGGGCTATTCAAATTCGAGTTTATGCATCTCGTAAACTTAAGTCATAAAGAGTCTGTTAAATCGTGGCAAAGTTGACTACTATTTTCAGTTACTATATATTGAATGATATGATTTGGATCCGAAGATGTCGGAAAAAAAACGAAAATTTCTAAATTTTTTGTTGTTTTTTTTTCATTTGCATTCATATTTAAAATCTGTTTACACATTACCATTGAAACTTTCATTGTTTCATATGATATAAAATGATTTGTTTGAATTGAAAGGGTTATATTTTTAGGAGTGATTAATTTTTGGGAAGAAAGTTTTTGGCTTTCTACTACTCCATATGATACATTTGTATTATACCTAATTAAATTTTTATGCAGGGTATCGTCAGATTTGGGGCATCCCCAACTTTGGAATTTTGTATACGGACTCGAATTTTTTGTAGCAATTTTTCATCGGTAGTTTGATGATCATCAAATACATTTGTAATTTTTATTATTGCATCCCTGAGAAGCTGTTCAATAGGAATAATACTTCCTCTTATCACAGTTCATTCTCAGAAAATTAGCAGCGTAGCGTGTGCAAGCCTGGAGAAAGAAGAAATTTGTTAACCTATACGTGCTAGAACCGTTAGATGATAAGATGGAATTCAGAGGAACGAGATCCATGAACAATGGATGGGATAAGAGAAAGCCAGAAGAAAGATGATCTGAGGCTGGTTTGAAACTGGCTTAATAAAGAGGTTCGCGACTTGCATGTCAGTGAGTCTTCAAGCCTAGCTCTGGGAGAGCCCAGAGAAGACAAGGAAAGTGCATCAGTTGGTCGTACCAAAAACAAACTGCATATGAGTGGAGTAGGAGAACATTCGACATCAACAGAACCCTAACACAAGCCCGACAGAAATAGTACTGAGAGAACTATTGCCGTGATGTGAAACAGAGAACACCTGTGAAAGACTTTCTTCATGATTCAACACTTGTACCATGAAAAAAGGACCTAACAGTGAGATAGTCAAAAAGACCAGAGAATAAAAAGAAATATCGTACGTTCTCGAGAAAAACGCCTACAGATCACTGATAACCGAAACAAGGTCGCAACGAAAAGTCACTCTACGGTTACACCCAAACTACATAAGAAATAGGCAAACACCTGCAAACCAGATGTCATCGACATAGACGGTGGCCCCCTACAATGGTAATGGTCCTTCCTGAATCAAACATATGAGTTAATCGGGGACAGAGTGACTTGAAGATGGTGGAAATGTGATGTCTCGTGCCATGGTCGTTACCTACATCTATGATAATCGAACTAACTCATCGCTGACAAGCCCGTTAATGCAGTACGCGTGACATAACCGAATATGTATGACTGGAATGTACAGAGCGCAATGGAAGGCAAGTTTGAGTAAATGAGGGAACGTACGGAACACGATCTGCAAATATCAAGAAACTACGAACATAGTGTATAAATCGGATTGCAGTAGCAGACGGACAGTCTGTTTGAACTGTCAGTTTCAAATCGAGCGAAGTTTGAAAGCGAAACAGTGTGATTGAAGTACTACATTTATTCACTGTAATTTGTATGATTAAATAAAATTATTGAATTTCCATAAATGTTCCACTTAATTATTTGTTCATAACCCACGCTTAGACGAAACCTAGTAAAATCCCAAGTTCGAAACAATCGTAACATACATAGATATACCATCACCAATAAACACACTGAATAAATCAGACACACTACCTACATTACCAAGCCCTACTTGTGCTAACAGGATGCATGACTTTCACCCCAATTTGTGCATTATTGATAGAGACATCGGAAATATCCAAAATCAATAATTTTTCCCAATCACCAGAAATACAATATTTTTATTAACCCGCTTATATCACCAACCAAGTTGGCGTCTTCAGATGATGATCAGTTTTGTTCATCTTCTGAAGACACCAACTTGGTTGGTGAAACGACGCGTCAAGAAGGGTACTGCTTGTTTTTTAATTTATTCTACACCATCGAGGTTCCAATTTTATCTTGGTTATCGGAAATACCCTACTAATATGGCAAAAAACACTATATTTGGTGGAGGCATTCAACCTATTTCAACCATTCAGAGGTGAAATTTAAGTATTGCAAAAAAAAGCTACCATGTTTTGAATTTGACCAAGACCTTCAATTATGATTGTCCATCAAAAATGAAAAAGCATTCAAAAGCCAACAATTTAATATTCAAAGCAGCTAAACATAAAATTTGTTGAATTTGATATCTTCATATTCACAGATGCATCGAAAAGTATCATATGCCAAACTGACAAAAGAACAGGTATCGGCGTTAGCATTCCAGAAATGAATTACCCACTTACTTTCCTCTCGAATTCCCAACCTATATTCAATATCTGTAAATCGGAAATTGTGGGATAAGAAAAGGATGCTGAAATAGATACTTATTGTGTATGAAAAAAAAAATACAAAAATGCTTTTTTTTCACTGATTCTCTCAATGCTATTTAAAAATTAACGAAAAAAATTAATTTGTCAAGTAATTAGGTATAAATCTCCCTAATCACCAAACGTATGTTTTAAGAAGCTATTCAGAACGGAAACGACTATCACTTAGTCTAGATATCGGGTCAGTCCAGTATGGATGAAAACGATAAAACAGACACCTTACCTTACCTGAAACTTCAGGTTCGAAACATTTTACTTACAATTGGAACAGTACTTCAAATGATGAGGAGGAATATTACTCCCAAACACAGAAAATTCAGCCGCACCATCTGCGTGGTACAAAACATCCCATTTATTGATAGAAAGCTCCTCAAAAACATTATATAAAATGTTTTCCAAACCCATCCTAAAACAAATGAAACCTTCAATGAGAAGGTGCATTGAAATAGTCTCGTACTTTATACACTTTCTGTCTAATGTATGGTTAATCTAAAGTATTGTTGTAAATCATGCCCGAAAGGAAATAACGCCGGGCGCCACTGGTAACCATAAACCAAACGTGACGTAGCTGAGAGCGTGGGAATGCCCAATGTTACCTGCCGTTCGAGAAGCGGCAAGAAACATGCTACCGATGTCGATGGAACTTCGGCGAAAATTCTACGATGTTCGATTGCAATATTTGAACGCTGGCTGCGAGCGTATTCGGACAGTCAAGTACACAGTGAAGTGAACGTTACAGTGCGGTACGCGAAGTGATCTAGTAAGGCGATAAACATTCAAATAATAATTGAAGTTTTAGTTGAGGTGTTAGTTGTAACTAAGTGAAATAAAGTTAAGTTTGATTATTCAGTGTAGTCAATTATTGGTGAACCCACGGGGAAAACATAACAGTAATCTCCGGTGAGGTGCATATGAAATACTGAAGTTTATCTGCAATTGATTCAGTAGAATGTACCACAGCGCCACCTGCAGATGAAATCCGAAAACAACTCCACAAACACATACTCTGGGACATGGGAGTTACAATAATAGATATATTCCGGAGAGGTGTATATGACAATACTCGAGTTCAGGTGAAAACATCTTAGGTATCCTTGCCTCTAATGTGAACTTACGACTTTGTAGGTACGTGTGGCAGATGCCAGACGAAAAAACAACAACTAACCCAGCTAATGCCGCGCAGAAAACTGAAGTAAATCCATCAGCCACCTGTGTAACGTCTTCCATTCGGAAGAGTCGTCGCAAGTAACTTCCTATATATAAAAAGCAGCGGTAGACCGGTTTCGGAGTATTAGCTCCTCATTAGTATCGGGAGGGTTCTACTTCAGCTTTCTGCGTTGCATTATAAAAATCTGTTCAAAATCTGTTTTTCCGTTAACCAGCTGTCGCCTCCCTACGAACAACTCTCAAAAGTCGAAACTTATGCGAGTTAAGGACTAACAAGGTCTTATCTTTTAACGTGGTTAGTTAAAAATGGATGGAAAATATGGATTTTCAAGTATCGGCCAGTTCTATTCAATACTTGGTTAGTTGGTTTTTTCGTCGAGAATCTGTCATACGTACCTACAAAGTCGTAGGCTCGCCTGAGAGGCAAGGATAAGGTGTTTTCACCTAAACTTGAGTATCTATATGAGGACGCAACCTTTTTTTAATGGCATATGACATCTCAGAGACATGATAATAATGTGGATACGTTTTGCCGTTATGTCACTAGTACACTAACGTCTGATAGAACGTCACGATGTTTTATGTATTGCGTGAGATTAGATTTGTCACATGTTGTTGTGACGCACTGGCCAAAATGTATTGTGATTCGCAGGTGAAAAAAAAATATCTAAAAGTGACGTCACAGCCAGTCCATATTATTATGTCTATGCATATGCATAACCTGTTTTGTGTGCATAACCTATAAGAATTTTATATAAACGCAGTCAAAAAAAATATGTCCATGATTCATGATAAAAATTTAATAAAATATCTGAGTAATGTTTTTATTCTGAACTTAACTTTTTTTATTTCACCCAACTCCAGTTTAGTGAGAAAGTGCAAACAGAATATTAGAGATGTCTTCAAGTAGGTTATTAGTGATATAGGTTGTAATTCAAAACATCAAATTTTCTTGTAATTTTTTGGAATATTTGATATTTAGATAGATAGATATTTCTTTATTTGTTCATGTGTACAATACATTATCACAGCATAGGTATCACTGCTGTAAATATACTAAAATACCCAAGTGAGTGTAGAACATGTCAGTAATATAAACAGATTATTGATAAAAGAAGAGAAGAGAAAACCCAAAAGGGGAAATCCAATATATTACTGAATAACAGGTTTCTTCTCGCCTTGAATTTTGTTAAAACACGCTTCACAGTATTACACTTGTAATTTCTAACAAGAGAATAATTATTCAGTGAATTTTACTGATATAGATGTTTTCAATAACAAACACAGAAATAAAGCACAATTTCTTTACTCTACAGTAGCGTTCATTCCCGAAAATTAATTTGAAGTATGGTTTATGAATGCTCCCATTGATTTACATTATAACAACTTGAAGTAATGATAAAAGTTTTACTGAACTAGCTACTACTGTTGCATTAAATGAACTACACTTGTAACACCAGCTCTTTCAATAAAACTTGAATTATTTCTTTTTGATTTTAAATGCAATTTAACTATATTGTGAAAAAAGATTTGTTTAGAGAAAGGGTCCTGAATAGATATTTTCTATATTTTATAATTTTACTGCTGCTGGTTAATGAAAAAACAAATTTTAACATAAATATATTATTCAAGTCAATAGGAATCCCTGCAAAACTACAACTACACTGTTGATTAGCACTTTCACATTCTTCAATTTAAACATATTTTATTCAATTTTTAATATATTTAGCAGAATATGTTCTCATTTGTTCCATATATCGGATTTCTTACAATATGGTATTCCAAAAACCGAAAAAATCCAATTTAGATATTTATATCCTATATTAATGATACAGTAACTTCCAACAGACCTGTAATTAGTATCAATTCTGTGAATCAGAGTGAAGTTATAACAGCTTTAAAAAACTTGAAGAATCATTTGCTAATGATCTGAAGATTTTTCGTGTCATAGAAGTCACCTAATGACAATGAAATACTACAAAATGACTTGAATAAATTAGCTCTCTGGTGTTCTTCAAACAATTTTCCACTCAATTTGAGTAAAGGTAAATATACTACTTTTTGCAACTAACACCACTATTGACCACAATTATTCAAGGAATGGTAAAAACAGACAGCTTCAAAGACTTGGGAGTATTCTTTGATACCAAACTCTCACATGGAGAAAAGTGTAACTGTTGCAAAAAGAATATTAAGGCTTATATTCAGAAATTGTAAAGATTTCAAAATCATGGAAAGTTTTATCACTCTCTGCAACTCATCTGGTAGATCCCGTTTATAATATGGCTGTCTTATCTGGTCACCTATATATACTTCACACATTCAATCGCTTGAATCTGTCCAACGACGGTTTATGAAATATGTTATATACAAACAGATAATGTCTACCCCTGGCAGGGAATAAATAATATATTGTTGCAGCGTTTTCATTTTCTATCTCTTGAAGACAGAAGAACTTATTATTCTTGCGTACTCATATACAAACTGGTGAACTGTCTCAACTAGAGTTTCATATGTCAAGAATTGGTGGTAGAACTGAACAATGTTTTTACATACCAACACCAAGAACCAATACGTTATTCAAATATCCCTTATTTGCAATGTGCTATAAATTTAATCAACTGAGTCAGAAAGAAGAAATTTATTCAACATCATTGAATTTATTCAAAAAAAAGAAAAACTATTCTGTTTGCCAAGCAACAAATACTCATTTAATTTTTTTTAATGAGGGTACATATTATTGTTACGGTATATATATTTTTTTATTCAACACTTTTATCCCAAAACTGTGTATTATGTTTTCATCAAACATTTATTTGAAATTTGTTATTTTTTCCTTTAAAATATTCTATGAATGTATTATTACTTTTATGATATGTATATATTTTCTATATTAAACACTTTCATCCCAAAATTGTATACTGGGTCTAGTGCCTGTTTGGACAATTAATTTTTTTTAATTTATAGGATATTAGAGCTTTGTTTGAAAACTTAGTAGGATTTATAAAAAATGATTTAAATTTTTAATAATTCCTCCTGCATGTACTGAAGAGAATAGTTTGAAATTTGATATATTTTTTTTCCACCTCAGTCGAGTAAAATTATTTTTTTAACAATTTTTGGTTGCAGGTAAGTGTACTGTATGTACCGTATTGAATATGGTCTAGAAAACATAGGTACAAAATATAGCTACACAGTGTTTCATTTTATAGATTTATGCTAACTAAGAACAACGTTCAGTTTGATATCTAACTAGAAAATACTTAGATAATTACTTCAAGTAATTCTGACAAGAACTCAAATCTTCACAAATAGAAATTCTAACTGCATTAGAGCAAATGAATATACTTTACCACTTCACTGTACATTTGCATAAAAATAGAAAGTTCCTCTGTCAACACAACTAGAAATATGGCTTGAAATCACCTTGATTTTAAAAATAGGTAACATTTCTTACATCACTGAATTGTGCATTTGTACACCTCTGAAGTATTTTCAGATTATATCAGTTGCTGATTTCTTTTGAAAAAAAATCTGTAACATTTTCAGATTCCTGTACAATGTTGATTGATAAAAAAGAAATTTCGAAAGGCAGTATTATTTTGCAAGAGAAACCATTTGTTTATGTGTTGTCTTCAAAATTCAGAACAGAAAGATGTGACTTCTGTTTCTCCAAGTAAGTAGGTATCTAGTATTTAATGACTACCAAACCAAATTTCATTTATTTAACTTTCCCAAACATTTTATAGAAGTTTAAGTTGTGAATATATACTTTTTCAATTTGTTTATGTGAAACTTAATGAAATAGTTATGAATGAATGTGCATAAGTCCAAGTATTGTTCTATAGGTAACAAACAACAAAATTTGCATTTGTTGTACTCCATTCAGTTGTAAGGAAAATTTAGTACATCCTAAGATAGGTACTCTTATCTTCAAATGCCAATGAAAAATGATTCCAATGAATAATGATACTTAGTTGTATTATGTTAAAAATTTGAAGAAATAATCCCGACCTGTTCATTTATAAATAAGATAACATCACACACGTTATCAATAATAATAATTATAGCATTTTTACAATAAATCTAATAACAAAACCTATTGGATAAATTATTAAATCTGGTAAAACAGGTAGAGTTTGAATAAAAAATTAGGCACAATACAAAATTACTTCCAAGAAACAGGTACAAAACAGATTTAGAAATAGAAAGCACAAATCAATACCATACCAGAAAGAACTAACCAATTGAGTTTATCACAGTGCTTGGATTTCTTCACAAGAGAGGAAACTTTGGATGGACATGAAAAACCGACGTGTTCAAGTTGCAAAGATGCATATAGACCACNGAAAGAAGAAAATGCACAAAGTCTCTATCGATCCATAAGTTTCCCCATATTTTAGTTATTCATTCTAAAAGAGTTTCTCTAACAGAAAGATTTAGAGGCAAGTTAAATGTTGCCATCGAATTTCCTCTAGATGGATTAGATATGAACAATTATGCAGCAGATAATGTGACTCCTTGTCGCTATAATCTGTATTCACTTTCGAATCACAGTGGGTCTACCTACAGCGGACATTATACAGCATTCTGCAGACATCCTTTCAGTGGCAAGTGGCACGAATACAATGATTCACAAGTGTCACCAATTTCACCAAAATCGCTCGTGAGTGGAGATGCATACATCCTCTTTTATGAAAAGGAGGAAATGAGTTCGCACCTTTGAGCGTTTTGTAAAGTTATTTTTGAACTGTTCATTTTAATGTTATGTATTATCTAGTTACATGTTTATAATTTATTAGGAAATATTTGTAATATACAATATTATTTCCAAGAAAACAGTTAATATGTTAATCAATGACATTTTATGAGAACAAGTTCACTTATATTGAATGAATAACTTCCTGTTCGTCATATAAAAGACAATTTGATTCAAGCAGGTTCAATTTTTGTCCTATATTTTCTGTATGTAATATGTCGTAGTCCATGTTGAAATTGTGTTCATCCCCTAAAAAGTGGCAAGCATAGGAGGAATTAGTTTTCTACAGCTCAAAACTTCTCTTTTTAATGTTCGGCAATTCTCTTTTTGAATTTTCTTGAAGTCCTTCCTATGTAAACTTTTGGGCATAATCCAAATGTTAGTTTGTAGAAGGAATTACTTCTGAGTCATTACTTTTACTCGGTCAATGATTACATTCAAAATGTTTCAAATCGGGAACATGATCATTCCGACACGTACCCATATAATTAATCCCTATATAGGTATACGTTTTTTACTTTTACATATTTTATATGTCTTTTATTTTTTCATTTCAATTATTTTAAATATCTGATCATATCTCTGTATATTTCAAAGATTTGTATTTACAATTAACATCTTTTATATGATTTGCTACAAACATTTTTTTAAAATAGGTGAGGTGTTTATTTGAGTGGGTGTAGATCCCTCTTTTGAATATTATTGATGGGTTTTGAAAAATATTAAACATAAAATTACTTATTTGAGTTGGCATTTTCGGTTTCGGTCGTAGTATCGGCAGGTTTGCCGAAGGTTTTCGGTTGGACACTACTTATCTTATTTGTTATCTTTGTCCCTTTTTGGCTAGTTCTTTATATGTCTATCCAAGGAGTTACTAGTTTTATATGCTATGTTAATGTCCTCTTTTGTAAGTAGTCTTATTATTTTATCAGATGATTGTCCTGTGTACATTAGCCTGTAGATTATGCTATGGTCAGCTGATATTTTATGATGATAGGGGTGATTAGAATGGTTATTGATAGGTGTATCACCAGATTTAATCAATTATCTAATGTTTTGTTATTACCTTCTGTTATATAAAAGATATATAATAAATTGATGGGTATAGCCATTACTACCTGGTAGGAAATCATAATGAAAAAAAGTTAAATGAAAATTTCTATGTTTTTTACCACTTTTATTTGTAACTAACGTTACAAATAACATTTTCAAACTTATACAATAAACTTTATTTTATAAGTTTGAAAATGTCCGTATAGGACGAAACTGCAGTAACGTTAGTTACAAATAAAAGTGGTAAAAAACATAGAAAGTGTCATTTCTCTTTTTCTTTATTATAGAATAGTTTGATGTACCAGTAACTGATAAGCTACCGTGTAGTGAAACACGTTTTGAATAAAAAAATTGTGAAAATTCTATAACTATTATCATGGATAGTGTTATTAATTCTCATCAAGTAATGGATCAGAGTATTCATAATGAAATGCGTTGATATACTCAAAAATCTTCCAAGAATATTCCTTATCAAATACCAATTCATTATAAAAATGAATTACAGATACATAATCACTACTGCCCTATATTTTGAATGTGGCATTTTTATTTGAAATTTGTTTTTTTGCTCAGAGGAGAACTTTTGAAGTGCTCAGTATGTCGATACGTTTACTACTGTGGAAGAGCTTGTCAAAAGGAAGGCTGGTCAATACACAAACTGGAATGCCGAAATTTGATGAAAATTCATCCAAGAATACTGCCGGATGCAGGAAGGATGTTGGCTAGACTTATCAGGATTTTAGGACATGGAGGAAATGAATTGAAATCTTATTACACCAAAAAAGACTACCGAAAGTTCAAGGATTTGATGTCACGTAAGACTAAGTAATATCAAATGTATCAGAGTTTTTGAATATTTGGGGGTGTTTGATATTCAAAATAGATCAACACAATGTTTTATGGTTATTCATAATGATGTTATTTATGCATACAAATAGAAAAAGTATACTCGTCTCATATCCATTAAAAATATATTACAATTGACGAATCTATCGATACTTTAGGTGTGTCAATTCTAAAATGCCTGTAGTTTACCAAAATTCACTAGTAAGTTTGTAGGAATTGAAGATATGATATTTAATTATTTGTGAAAATTTCTACTTGAAATTTTAAACAGTCGTTACCGTAATGAACTATAATTAATATTTTCAGTGTTGAAAAAATAAAACAAGGTTTCAATTGAATCTTAAATGCTATAAGTATGGGATCAACAGAAAACTTCATTTCTTCATGACCAGTACCCCCATTGTGGTCTTTTGCAAAGCCAAGTTTCGATATTGGCCACTGAATGAGAAATCGCTTTCTATTTTTATCTGCAGCTTTCACTGCAAGGGACACAAAACCAAACAGCACTGTTTCGACTGGCAATCGTTTTTATTAGTGGTGCTAGGCTCAACTAAGATTGCATTGTTGGACTGAATTGTCACGGAAAGACAAACCTGAGTATAAATATGTTCAACAAAAATCTCGAACTTTGTTTATCCAAGATAAATAGGAGTTCCCACGGCAATCTGTTGTAGAGCTAAACTTCGACATCGATTGCAAAATGAGAAATCGCTTTTTGTCTTTCTCTGCAGCTTTCCCTGCAAGGCAACTAGATGGAAAAGGAGCACAAACAAGACTATTTACTCAAGAACAATTTGGTCCAATAATGCATTGGAGTTTAGCCTACCACCACTGATTGCATCTATTGTATGTCTAAACAGCCCTATTGTTGGATCAAGATTGCTTTGTTTTGCAAGTTGCATCTAATGAAATATATCAACTCAAATACTGATGAGTTATAATTCTCAATACTTTGAATAATGTTGCAGTTCTCTTTTCTACCAACCTTTTTGGTTATTTCCATCGTCCACAATCTGAAAAAATAAAAATTCTATATTCTACAAAAAATGAATTTTGTTCAATTTTAAAGTTCTCTTTTTGAATTTTTAGCAAAATTATGAATAAGATGTTTGGCATGTAATATGAACACTGAAGTCAGGTTTTCAGATATTTGTGACTAGGGAGTCAATCGCTGTTAAGCAAAAAAATATCAAGTTTTCCTTAGGAAATAATAATTGCCCCATATCAGAATTTTCTACCCAGTGTTCAGATATACATATTAGTTTTTATGTGCTTTCAATTTTTTAAAGGGTATTAAGTATAATTATGTTTTATATTTCACTCATTTGTGTATTTTGCAGACTATTCCGATATCAAAAATGATCAGAATAGAATGGAACATTTCTCTTCTCTTTATGGTGTGCTTTCCGAATTTTTCAATGGAGAAATTCTTCCGAATTCTGCAGAACTGTTGGGCATGTATTGTAGAGTAAGTTGTAAAATCATTTCAGAAAAATGTTTTAATTTGTTGATAGATGTGTGTGAATTCTTTCAGTATTGGCAACCAGGAGTTCCAGAGTGTGGGAACTGGATTATATTTAGGAGCATCAGTTGTAGATCATTCCTGCAAACCCAACGCTGTTGTAACTTTTGAGGGAACAACACTCATTATGAGAGTGCTGGAGAATATTACAAGCTTGGATTGGACTAAGGTATTATAGTAGTACTAAAAATTATATTTCCCATGAAGGAAATATTTCTTGACATATAGATTGAATGTATTCAAATGACACTTTTATTCAAACTGTTGCGATTTTGTAAACTGTTTAATGAACATCTGTCGATATAGTGTAACTTACATATGGATTTCCATTAAGTATCAGCAAATTCCATCACATAGTAGGTTAAATTGTGGCAGAGTTGTCTATTTTTGGGTACTATCAAATGATACAAAGAATCGACAACTTAGTTAGGTGACCTACTCAAGTACAGATTAGATGTCTAGAATTTTTAGTTAAGATATTTATCAATTTCAATTGTGGTCTACAAATATGTTGTCAGAAGATATTTCCTAACTGAATTTTAAAACGTGATTTTTTCAGATTTTTATAAGTTATATAGACGTAATGGCTGTAAAGAAGGAAAGACAAGCAGAACTTGAATCTACCTATTACTTTTTATGTCAGTGTCCTAAATGTTTAGGACCTGAACCCATCACGGAAATGACAGGGGCAGCTTGTCCTAATAGAAATTGTGATAATTGTCTAGATAGTACATCAATGAAGGATGGTCAGAAATGTGCTAAATGTGGTGAAACTATAACTGAAGAATTTATCAACACATTTCGAGATGTTATGGAAATGACCATCATCCATTTAAAAAATATGAATGAAACCATATGTATCCTTTTCCTTAATTGAAAGAATTATAAAAAGAATAGTCAACTGATCATCGCATCAAATTAGATAACTTCATATTTACAAAAAGTGTACTCACTAACGTTTTAACTTGATTTATAGAACTTTATCAGAAGTGAAGTTCGGTAAATATTTCATTTCAACAACTCGAGTGTAAAAATGAATCTTGACATTGAACTGGCTTCCATTCATTAAATGATTTACTTCTTTATATTTCAATACCACAAGCATTTTTAGTAAAGTATTCTATTAAAATCAAGATAAAAATAGGTTTGTTTTCGTTTATTTTTATAGTTCATCTTGGAACCAAAAATAAACAAGAGCTTTTCTTGAACACAAAATGGCGACGATTATCAATTTTTGAATAGATGTATTGAACTATTGTGAATATTGAATTCTTAACAAATGAAATCTTCAGATTTGGATGTTTGTGAAGTGTGCCTGAGGAAACAAGAAGGTGTTTTGTACAAATACAATGTGAAACATGTCAAAATGCTGGATTTAGTATTTGACAGCTCAATAGAGTTTGGAAAATTTGATGAAGCTCTGAAGTATGGATTAGAGTTGATCATAGGTTTATAGTAAGTACTTACCATTTACCAATATTTTCAAAATAATACTGTTTTATGTTACAAAAAATGCTTGAAATATTTCTCATTTCAAAATTTTGTAACCTGTCTGGTTATTATTTTTGTGTCAGAGGTGTATTTTGACCTCTCATAAAAACTATCAATATTGTTACATTCTATGTTATGTTACAGTTGTGTTTATGAAAGAAAACACATATGTCATCAATAAAATACGTGAAAAAACACATACTTTCATACAGCATACTTTTCTTCTGCAAGTCAAAAATGCATGTAATTTCAAACATATGTTTAAATACTGGTATTGATATGTCGACGACGTCTTTGTTTGCTGGGTCGAATTGATATATCAGTTAAATAGTTTCCTCATTTATCTGAACAGCCTCAATCCTAATATAGAAATCACAATGGAAATGGGAGACGATCACAATTAACTGAACTTCCTAAATTTGAATATCTGCCGCTTAAACAACAAACACAAATTTTTGAATATACAGTGTGTAACAACGAAAACTTAACATACCCGTTTTTGAATATAAAAAGTAAGATTTTTAAAAAAAAATCGGACCCGTCGATTTCTAATTGAAGGGGGACACCTTTCAGACTAATCAGATTTTTTGTAGTACGCATCCCCTCGGAGGGGTGCGTCCGACGACCCTTATTTAGATAGGGAAAGTAGGTCGAGTGGCACCTTGTTTTAAAGGTCTTTCGAATACCTTTACAACTCTGTTAAAAGAACATTTTTGTAACCATTAGTTTTCGAGATAATTTGAAGTTAGAATTGCCATGTTAATAGACAGACCACTCGGTAACTTGTATGCCTAAATAAAAACATTTTCGAGCAGTTCTTCTTATCAGTTTTTTGTTGAATAAAATCCTTTTTTCAAAATCAATATCCACTCCTCTTCCAGTTTTCATTAGTACATCGTTCGATTGTTTTGTTTAAACGGGTCGTGTATTGTTATTTGTTTAAAAATGCCTTACACTACTGCTGAAAGGTTTTCAGTTATTGCTTTATTTTTTGGCAACGACCAAAATTCCAAATAGAACATCAATTTTATTTAACGAAAACCCCACTACAGCTCTTGCAAGACATACAAATGATCTGTACAGAGGCGTATCATTACTTGTCCTCCAATGCTGTAGGCGTTTGGCATTGTCTGAGTAATTTGTGTTGTTTCTGAAAAAATTATCATTGCCTACCAAAAAACCAGTCATCAAGAGTCAGGCAAGTGAAATAATTGAAGTTTTTAATTATTTTCAAAGTGATAAACGTGAGCCGGATACATTATCAAAATAATGTAACTTTCAAGTTGGAAGATGTGAGGAAACTAACAGACACGAGTTTGATCAAATCACTTCCGAGGAATGGCAAAAGCGATGCCGACATGTAGTAGATATAGAGCTGAAATATTGGGAAAATGAAACATTCACACACGTTCAAACAGAGGTAAATGCAATGGTTATAAATTTAAATGGCAATAGCAGCACAAGCACCATCAGCAATGAATATGAAGAAAATTTGTATTCAGATAGTGACTGATAAAAGTTTACTTTTGGATAAGTGTATCATTATATAACATTTTAATGAACTGTACTACTACCTATAATACTGAATAAAATATGAAAAGAAATTAAAAAGAAGTCATGTTCCTTTTGCTAAAACTAATTATAGGTATGACACTGGCCGGCAAGGGGTTTATCGTAATCCAATAGTAATTTAGTAGGCAGATCGCTTGCCATCAGCCGTGGCATGTACTGTATAAGGATGCAATGAGTATAAATTAACTTGAATCAGAATTAAATCAGACTTAAAATCCTGCTATCATCAAAACATACTAGTTTATCTAGATCTAATTATTATCAACTCAAGTTCTACAATTACTGATATATAAAATGCATTATATCATACTGGGTGTACCAAGATACACGCCAATAGTCAACATGTTGAGGGAATTGAAATGGATGTCATTAAAAGACTATGTGTACTATCAAACAATGGTACTGATATATAAGATGCATCACTATCTAACGCCGAACTACTCGAGCAGAAAAATAACATATAATGAAAATTATAACAATTATAATACCAGAATCAACCGAAATATCCATGTAGGAACCAAAAATAAGAAGTGTACTGAAAAATCTATTCATCATGCAGGAATATTGACTTTCAATAATTTAGATCATGCTATCAAAGATTGTAATTCAANGAACATTTGAGAAGGTACAGATTGATTGGACAAGTTTTCAACTACGCCAATCATCTCAAAGAAAACACGCATAATTTCACACAAAATCCATAAATTCAACCAAAAAGTCTGTAATTGAATATATTGGAATGTATAAGAATCCATAAACATCTTGCTAATAAAAACAACATTGTTCTGAATGATCGATAGATATTTATAATTCTCCAATTATCAATAATGTTTTTATTAATTTCCCAAATGCCCCTTGATACCTCTCTCTACCTACCAATGCAACTTCTAGTATTTGAAGAAATGACATCATATATCTAGGTTAGTTTATAACTTGTTCAGAAGATGAAACAATGTGTCGAAACAGCTGTTATCATTAAATGCTAGTGTAGAATTGGGAAATATTACTTTCACCCTATCCATTCAATAAAAATAAAGCAGTTAACGTTTGTGTTTAATCGGTAAGTTTTGATGGAGGGATGGATGGGTGATAGTTTGTACTTAGTATATAGTATATATTGAATGATATTGTTGGCAATTTCTTAAATTTTCCGGTTTGTGTATGTTTAAGGAGACAACTATGTTTAGGCTTAATTTTTTCATTTACACAGGGAAGCCAGCCCAAGCATCGTAATGGCCTCTTTCAAAAAATGTTAGGTGAATGGTGGTAAATTTCACTTTTCATCGATACTATGAAGAATTGCAACAACATATTTTGAGAAAAATTATAGAATACTTTGTTTTGAGAATCTTTGTCATAGCATGGAAGAAATCATAAATCAATAACTGCTATTATTTATAATTCTTTTGCTTCAGTCCAATTGGTATTTTATATTGATTAACAGCATGTTCTTCGTTGTTACCATAATAACCAGTGTTGTAACAAATGTTTCATAAATGTATTTGTTTAAATTTGTGCAATTCAATAATCAATTTATAATTTTGGTGTTATCTTATTTATTAGAATGAACACTTGCAGTGTTGTTGAAGGTTTGCTCATTGTTTCCAATATGAAATGACAGATTTAATATTTTAGTGAATACTACGGTAAAATGCATCCGATGACTGGTCTGCTACACTTGAAATTGGCCAAATTATTATTATATCAAGATGAGCGGAAACAGGCTCTGGACCATCTGAGGAAAGCCAAGGAGATACTGGAAATAACACACGGATTAAAGAGTTCGTTGTTCAAGGAACACCTTATTCCTCTTCTAACACAGGCTTCTATAGAATATTCTAGATGATTATGTTATTATATTTTATTATTATCATAAATGGATAGTGAATAAGTTTTTAAAGAAATTACATTTTTGTGTAACAACTTGTAGCTGATATTGACTGGTAATGAACTACTAAGGGAATTTCATTCTACATAAGATTACTCACACTCTAATCTTTCATAATCCAAAAAAAATTAAATTGTAATGGAAAATTAGAGTACATTCTTATATTTGAAGATAGGTGTATTTCTAACAACTCTTTAGTAATGGATCGTACTTAATTACCTGCCTTAAAGAAAGATACGGAAAGTGGCAAAATTGCAGGATACTAATATCAAAAACACATTGTACTAGATCAAATGTTTTAATCAGTCAGTCAACAAATTATTTCACATTTAATGAAAATTATTTAAGCATATATGTTTATAGTGGGGAAAAACAATAATTCAAAACTATAACATAACCAAATAAAAACGAAGCAAAAAAGAAGAATCAGGACTGAAAAAAATGATTGAATTTACTTCAAGAGTCTAATAATAATAAAAAAAAATTATCGTGAATATATAGATTGCTGAAGCTGAGAACATGGTGAACAGCAGACCACTGACTTACGTTTCGAACGATGCCCTGGATCCTGAGAGCCTAACCCCCAATCATTTCCTACTTCAATGTTCTGATGGATCTGCACCACCTACAGGAGAATTTGAGATAAGCGACGCAAACTGCANGTTCTGCGGATTGAGGCAGATAAGTATTTGAGAAATTATTGGCTAATTTTTTTGTAGGCAAAATTATTCAATACAAGTTTACTAATAACACGTTTTTAAGAAAAATATGTGGAATTTATGCAGTAACCTAGCAGAGTGAACTTCATTATAAGTTTAATTTTTTTAATTTGGTGGTAGGTGAAAAATTCACAAAAAATTATTTTTATACAATATTACCACAATTATTTTTGAGAATTGGAGTTACTCATTTTCTCATTACTATTTAGACTGTCAGGTTTTTTACAGGTTAAAATTAATAATAATCGTAAAATGGTCAATGGCCTGTAAAAACAACTAGGTATATCCATTGAAAACACTTTTTGTTTCGGGAAACATTATACTTGAAAAATGATTCCAAAACATATCAACTCACAATAATAAAAAACATCAAAAAATAACAGATCTAAACTAAACTCAACCTCAATGAATAAAATTCTGCTATTAAATCACTCTAGTTTCAAATTTTTCGGAGGAATATAGTCTGGATCCCCATCATCTGCAATGTCAATAACTGAAGATGGTCTCTTTGTTATCGAAACACCTACACTACTTCTATTGAATGCCATATCAAGTCTCTCCCCAGAATTTTTTGGAATAATCTTGATATTTTTAATATCTGACGTTGATAAATTTGGTTTGGGTACTGCTGTAGCCTTAATTTCATTCTCCAAATCAATCAGTTCTACAGCAGGTGGTGGTTCGGTTCTTGGTATGTGACCTTGTGCACTTAAAACTTTTTTAACTGTGATTTCTGGGGATAAACATTGTATTTTTGAGTTTGCTTTCAAATCATCAACATTTTTTTTCGAAGACAAAATTATTTTAGTATATTTTTGGGCTGGTTTATTGAACGATAATGGAGTAGGTTTCCTTATGCTTGGTGTATACACGAAACTACCTTGACTAGTCGGCTGCTTATTTATCACCATAAATTTAGCAGGGGTTACTGTTTTTGGACCCATTGTGGATAAAACGTTAGCAGTAGATGTGGGAATACTGGTTGTTGTGCTGGCTAAACTGCTAGGTAGGTTTGTGTCCAGCATCTGGTTATCATCAGCAAATATGATTGGTAAATCCATGATATCTTCGGTGGTTAAATTTGTAGGAGGTGGCAAAGAACTTTGAACATTTGGAGGTTGTGCGAATAAGGGATTCTTGACTGGACGAGGTGGTTTTTGAGTCATGAGCTGTCGTTTCGCAGTGATGAATTTAGTTCCTAAAAGAAATAATGTGAATTGAGAACTCTCGAACCAAGAAATAACTTNCCATTAGGGTCACTTCTCCAGATTCAATGTACAAAGTTGTGTCACTGGGCGTGCATCAGTACTCACATTAGAATTTTTTCAGTATAAAAAATTCTATTAAGAAAAAATTGTAATAGCGAATTGTCAAGAACACTACGTGGTAGTAAAATTTTGATTCCTGTTAAGGTGCGTATTCACAAAAAAAGCGAGCACGAGCGAATAAGAGTGAACGGGCATTCTGCATCAATAATCGTCTGGTGAGTACGGACCAGCGAGCGAGCGAACGTATGATTGTTCACGTTCAGAAAAGATCGATAATAAGGCGGTGCATCAAAAGGTGCTCGCACAAAGTAGATGGATCAACTACGACTACGAACTTGAAGATATTCGCTCTGGTGTGCATCAATATGTCGAGCAAACACGAGCGAACACGAGCAAACATACACAAATGCTCGCTTTTTTGGTGAATACGCACCTTTAGGGAAATCGACCGGGAAAAGCATTGAAATAATTAAGCTTATGGGGATGCTGCCCTAAGTAAAACCAGAGTCTACGAGTGGTTTTCACTCTGTTAAAGTGGAAATATGTTGATTGTAGACCAAACTCGTTCGTGATGTCCCTTGACGTCATGAACTGACGAGATGAGATGTTTAGAATAACATGCAGTTCAATTTAGAGGATTTTAACAGAAGATTTGCACATGAAAAGAGTTGCGGCCAATTTTATTCCTCACCTTCTCATAGGCGAGCAAAGGAAGCGTCTACTTAAGGCATGTTTTGAGTTGCAAAATCAGCTGAAGTTTTTTCCAATGTGATTACTGGACATGAATTGTGGTGCTATGTACACGACCCTGAACAAAACAGCAATAAAGTCAGTGGAAGACACCTGTCTCTCTTTTTCCTCAGGTTTTTTACNGGCAGAATATCTGGAAGAAAAAGGTAGACATTTAGCGCACAGGCACAGTGGTTCTTTCATCATGACTAGTCGCTAGTTCCCAATTATCCCCTTCGTAAAGAAATTTTTGACCAATAACTACATGACACCGATTGTCCACCCCTCTCCTACTCTCTGTGACTTTTTTCTGTAAGGAGGTTAAACAAAAATCACTGGTAACCCTGAAGGACATCACAATTAGTAGATTAAAAAAGTGTTTTGACGATGGACGAAGCGTTCGGAGAAGTGAGTCGTGTTTAAAAGAGAATAGTTTGAAGGTGATTAAAATTTGGTGTAAAGACATTTAGGAATATCATAGCTCATAGTATCTTTCCCCTCACTTGTCGAGGACTTATGCCAGTGAACATTGATTGACATTCATCCCACTTTTTTATGTTCCTTACAAAAACATGTAAAATAGACAAAATTTATTTCAACTTACGATACTGCACACTTACCGATTCACCTGGCAGGTACTTGTGCTCATCGAAATCGCTTGTTTTTTTTCTTTCACTTTACAATGAATGAACTAAATTGTATTGAAGCTTCAAGCTTACAAGACAACTTGATTGGTGGAATTGGAACCTCATAAAATAGAACAACTGTGTGGAAAAGCCAACTACCAGGAAATATTCTGAACTTTGTTTATTTAGAACTAGAACACCATTCAACAAGTACTGCCGATCACTGAATAGGGAAAACTAAAATTCAAAGAAACTAAAACATTTAATTTTATAGCTAACATCTAAAAAGTATATAGAGAAATTTTTATATTTCCTACAAACTTAGTAACATTGACGTGACTAAAAATTCCAGAACTATATTTTAAGTGTGATACCTTACCTTAAAGAAATCTCAAGTCAAGTCTATGCAACAAATAACCTACTCAACTCATAAAAATTTTTGAACTGCGTGTTATGAGTGAATGATTAATATTACAATAACCCAATTTGTTCATCAAATCAGATAGTTTTAATAGTTTTTATAAAGGATGATAGAGCAAGCAAGCGTGATGCTCCCCCGCCCCCATGCGCACAAACTCATTTTCAATGTAAACCCCACTACAGCTCTTGCAAGACATACAAATGTTCTGTACAGAGGCGTATCATTACTTGTCCTCCAATGCTGTAGGCGTTTGGCATTGTCTGAGTAATTTGTGTTGTTTCTGAAAAAATATCATTGCCTAACAAAAAACCAGTCATCAAGAGTCAGGCACGTGAAATAATTGAAGTTTTTGATTATTTTCAAAGTGATAAACGTGAGCCGGATACATTATCAAAATAATGTAACTTTCAAGTTGGAAGATGTAAGGAAACTAACGGAGCACGAGTTTGATCAAATCACTTCCGAGGAATGGCAAAAGCGATGCCGACATGTAGTAGATATAGAGCTGAAATATTGGGAAAATGAAACATTCACACACGTTCAAACAGAGGTAAATGCAATGGTTATAAATTTAAATGACAATAGCAGCACAAGTACAATCAGCAATGAATATGAAGAAAATTTGTATTCAGCTAGTGACTGATGAAAGTTTACTTTTGGATAAGTGTATCATTATATAACATTTTAATGAACTGTACTACTACTTATAATACTGAATAAAATATGAAAAGAAATTAAAAAGAAGTCATGTTCCTTTTGCTACTCTAGAAGTCATGTTCCTTTTGCTACTCTAATTAAAACTAATTATAGGTGTGACACTGGCCGGCAAGGGGTTTATCGTAATCCAATAGTAATTTAGTAGGCAAATCGCTTGCCATCAGCCGTGGCATGTACTGTGTAAGGATGCAATAAGTATAAATTAACTTGAATCAGAATTAAATCAGACTTGAAATCCTGCTATCATCAAAACATACTAGTTTATCTAGATCTAATTATTATCAACTCAAGTTCTACAATTACTGATATATAAAATGCATTATATCATACTGGGTGTACCAAGATACACGCCAATAGTCAACATGTTGAGGGAATTGAAATGGATGTCATTAAAAGACTATGTGTACTATCAAACAATGGTACTGATATATAAGATGCATCACTATCTAACGCCGAACTACTCGAGCAGAAAAATAACATATAATGAAAATTATAACAATTATAATACCAGAATCAACCGAAATATCCATGTAGGAACCAAAAATAAGAAGTGTACTGAAAAATCTATTCATCATGCAGGAATATTGACTTTCAATAATTTAGATCATGCTATCAAAGATTGTAATTCAATAAGTCAATTTAAGGGAAGGTTCAAAATGCACATAATGGGTGAGTGATTTTGATTTGATTTTATTTTATTGTTATTTCTTGAGTTCAATAACTTCATTACTATTCCAAGGTTTTTAAAGTGTTGTAATTGTTGCAATACTTTTGTCTTACNCGAACTAGTGAAATTCATCACGAAACATTGTCAGTCACCTTCAAACGATTTTGATTTTATTTTATTGTTATTTCTTGAGTTCAATAACTTCATTACTATTCCAAGGTTTTTAAAGTGTTGTGTTTGTTGCTATACTTTGGTCTTACCTTTGTTGCCCACCTATGTGTAGATATTTCATATGAGTGGTTGAAGTTTATTATTTGTGATTGCAACCAGTCATATATATGTATATATTTGTAATTCATAGTTTGAATATTTTGACATTAGCCTAATGATAGTTAGGATCAAACATACTGTATATTAGCTTATGCAAAATAAAGGAATAATTAATATAGAATACTTTGATATACCAGTTCAACTGAAGAAGCTACTTTGTAGTGAAACACATAAAAACAATTCACGAAAACTGTTTATTATTATGGATAAGAAAACTTACTATTAGGTTTTGGTGGTCCTCTTTGTGGACTAAGTGGCAGCAAAATCGGCGTACCGCCTGTACCTTTCACTGTTGAACCAGGAAGATTCTTCAATTTTCCGTCAGGCAGTAGTAACACATTATTCATAGATGGATGTGCACCTTTAACCGAGTTGATTAGGGTTATTTTCGATAGGTCAATTGTCCTATTTTGAATAAGTTTTGCTGTCGTGCTGCTGTTTAACGTCACATTTTCAAGAACTGAAATGAAAGTTATTAATTTCTTAGAAAACATTTTCTACTCTGTGATGATAACATCAAAACTGATTTTGTTTTACCACTTAAAACATTTGATAACATTCAACTATCATAATGAATAAGTAAATGGAGTATCGAAAAATAGCTTGTTGCAGCATCCAGAACTGAAAACAATACATTCCCATGAATCGTGAGATGAACTAATATGTTTTTGTTTCAAATAACATCATACCACTTCTTATTGCTAAAATCCAATTTATTCTGGTATCTCTAATTGAACAACTACACTTAACCACGTGGTGATTAATATAAGAAAGGTTTTTATGAAGTATATCCTGACAAAATGATAATATATTTTTTTCACTACTAACCTGAGAAATTGCTATTATTTACTCCATTCCCCTAACGAGAATTAATATTTGTCACCCTTGGTAAATAATGATAATAAAAAAACACCTAGGTAAATAATGAGAACAATTGTATTATTTTAAAGATATTCACAAAAACTTTTCTTAACTTAATTATCAACTAGAAGTAGGAAATTGAACATTG